TTCCACGGCGCGTAGCATTGCAAATTTTGGCAGACGTGATCATGAATGCCTCGTCTACGCACTGCACTTGTCAGCTCAAAATCGTCAAACCTGGTGAGTGGCCCTTTAAGGCTAACTGACTGGATTATCAGAGAAAGCATACGCACAAAGGGGAGACAAAGTTAAATGGACCGATGAGATTAAAAAGTTAGCAGGTATAACGTGGTAACCGAAAGCACAAGACCGGGTTGATTGGCGAATTATGGGAGAGGCCTTTGCCCAGCAGTGGACGTAGTTAGGCTGATGATCATGATGATTAATTACTTTAAGTGTTCCAAGTTTGGTGCAATCTTGTACATAGCAAATTGTGTAAATACAATAGTCACGTCACTGTCTTCAAACATGTTTGTACTCTACGTAAAGGAACAACTGTGTTGTTTTGTGTGCTGTATATGTGCATGTTTTTTTATTGGAGCTTGGTTTCATGCTTATTAGTCTACCAGAGTTGTAGATTGAAATAAACATGTACAGGTTGCCTGTGCAAGTAGGTCTTTCATATGGTTTGGAGAAATAAAAAAATAAGTTGAGGCCCACTTCGAGAAATACATTATTTCTATGCCTACATCCTGACTGTCTTTGTCAGATACAAAGTGACCAAGTGATGCACGAGAAATGCTACTTTTTACATAAGCAAATCTCTAGGTTAATGCAAGCTAAGGCTGCCAATATGAAGGAAATTTCCCAGATTAACCCTTTACTGCCGGATGTCGCGACATACCGAAAAATTTCGAGCAAGTAAGTTCTGAAGTACGTTCGATCATTAATGCCGGCTGTCAACTACTCGCGGGGCATTTAGCTTTCAGCATGAAAAATTTAGTGCTGTCTCACCTCGAGTATTTTTAAGCTAGAACCGATGGTTTTGAAGGTGATGGCAGAAAGCGCGTGCAACAGCTCCCACTTCGTTTTTTCTCTCGTTGGTGACCCAAGTTCTATCTTCAATAATTTTGTTTATTTGGTGTGTATGCACTCAACAGGTGGCACACGGCATGTTATGTAGTTCTGAAGTGCGTTTTTTGTTGCAAGGTCCTTGCTTCTGTGAAATACGGAGAATTCGCGACCTATGCGTTTAAGTTGCATTTTAGATAATTTAACTATGGCATCATTTAAACATTGCTATATAAAGCTGGAAAATTAAAACTATTTCTATTTTGCTCGGCAGTTTCATAAATCAGGCAAGAGGGTTAAAGTAATTTTTAGGTCTGTGTGGAAAAAGGGAAATTTCACCATTTTGAGGGAAATTCGTCATGTGTTCACGCTCGTTATTTTAAAACATTGGAGGATGTTGAAACTGGGCCTTCAAGAGCAGGTAGTGATAGCGTAAGCAGGACTCTGGCGCATCGCCTTAACCTGTTGGCCTGCTTCAGTTCTCATACATCACTTTAAAATGCCATAAGGAAACGAACGACTGTGCATGTAACATTGGTCGTTTCAAAGTATCATCGAATGCCTAATGCAAGCACAGTTATTAAGGGCCCCCTGTGCCATAATTACACCTTTTGCAAATCAGAGGAGTGCCCACTCAAACCAATAACAAAGTGAAGCATCAACAGAGTAAATAGCTGCATAGGATCGCCCTTCAGAGTGGCCCTTGGCCACTCCGTAGGCGACATGAAAACCTACGCAGCTGCTAACTTTGTTGATGCTTCTGTTGCTGCTGATAATTAAATGTCTGAGCGCTTTGCAATGAGTGGACTTTTAAAACACCCACTCATTGCTTAATTCACATTTTCTGACGCCAGGCATGATTCTACGCTTTTGTTGGAGACGCCTTCCTATACATTACATTCATATAACGTTTTTTTCCAAAAGAAGTTTCAACCAATATTATGACACTATGGTAGAATGCCTGCTTGCTACACTGGCTGCGCGAGTTCGATGCTCACTCCGACTTGGACTTTTTTATTCTTTGTTTTATTTGCATCTTGATACTTCGGTCACGGTCAAGATGATTTGTCGCTCACAACAAACGATGCAGATAGATGCCGAAGCTGGAATTTCTGAGAAACAAGCTTTTTTAATTCCCTCACATTAAAATAAATCTCTACATTTTCATGGGGACCTTTCGCACCCAAATAGATACTATTACTTGTGTAAATATATACAGCAACGCCTAGTTAATTTTAAGTCACTGGTGCCACGAAAAATCTTTGAATTGAGCGGGTTTTCGAATTAACAGAACATACAAAATGTGGGCTGCAAAGAACTTCAAATTATTCAAGGTAGTCAGGGCTGATCGTTCCCTGTGCCAGCCAGTGTGGCTTCAAGGGTTGTTTTCCCCCAATACCCAGTCTTAATTTAGCCACAAACATGGAGGAACGGCGGGCCTCACTTCTGTTATTGAAAAAACAAAGAAACAGCATATCCACAAGGTGAAAGATGACGAGTGGGGCGAAGCGAATGGACGCTTCGCCCCACTCATTATCATTCACTCCGTGGATATGCTGTGAAACCGTTTTTATTGACATGCAATGCAACTAGGTACTACGACTACGACACGGGACATATGACTCACATTATAAGGAGCTTTGCCCCTTTAATAATAGTAATAAAGAAGAACAATGTCATAGTGAACTAGAATGTGCACGTGCGCAAAGCAAGACGTGCTTCACTGCAGCACAGTAGTGACACGCGGGTAGCATGTCGCCTGCTCCTCGCTGCGTCAGCACGTCATGATGCGAAAATTCGAGCATTCTTTCTGGTAAAATAAATAATTTAATAATGGCCACTCTACTGAAATTCGCGATATGTTTTGGCTGAAAAACATGATTATTGAAGCCTTCGAACATATTTTTCGAAGTAGGTGTTGCAGGCAAGAACTCTGCCAGCAGTATAAGTGCGCAAATTGTTGGAGCAACCGGCAATCGGAAGTTCGCATACATTGCAAATTTTGCCAAAATGTCCTTTTTTAATTTTCTTTAGAATCCCAGACAGAAAGAATGAGTAGCAAATCGTGACCCGCAAACCTAGCGAGAAACATGCAATATGCTGCCTGCGCGTCATTTCTGCCTTGCAGTGAAGCACGTCTTGTTTTCTGCAGGCGCTCGTTTCGGATTGCCCACAAAACCGGTTTCGTTCTCTCGATTTTTTTTTATTTTTTGCACTGGAAGGAGCGGGGTTGGGGTGCTTAAGCTGTCACTCAGTATCGCTATGTTATATTGCCTTATGCGTCTTAAGGGCTGGTCGTTTCGGCTGCTTTGCGGCGAAGTTGGGATCGGGAATTGTCACATGGCACCCATAATTTTCGAATTAACCGAACTGGTGCTGATCGCCGCTTTACTTATCCGGGACTGCAGAAATATTTAAAATTAAGCGGGATTTCGAAATAACAAAGTTATAATTAATGAGGTTTTACTGTACCTATATAAATATATGTGTAATAGTGTGTATTTAACAGCGTCATAGATGTTAATGCTATTGCTCTTTTTCTCTTGATTTTTGATAAGATACCTCGATAGCACATTTTTACCCACAACATAAGCCAGGCAACGCACTCGTTTCATTTATGACTCTCCCACAGTGTGCAGTAAAATGTCCGCAGTCGCCGGAAAACTATCATCATTATCACGAACAGGTATGTGCTACAGAAATTTGGCATTGTCCATTTGTATCAAATTTCAGTTAACAAAAGTGTGAGCAGGCCATGTCCATGCTATGGAGGTTTTCCACACAAACTTCAGAAATCTGGTAAAGTTCCTATAAGTAGCTCGCAAACATGAAAGCCAAACCAAAATGAGAAAAATGGGTGACCTATGTATTTGCCCAGCTTCAACTAGGCTTTTGCCAATTTAGCAAATTGATAATTCTTAACAAAATACTACATCATGAATCAATCAATGTGCAATGATCAATGCACATTGGCAGCCTTTCTGCATTAGTGTGAAGGAAAACCATGACTTAATGCTTTGACTTCGGGTGTGATGTTTCTCCAGAAGCAGACAAGAGGCAATATTTGAACAGTATTCTAATTCCCTTCAAAATGAATTTAAATTATTCTTAATTTAGAAGTATTCAAAATATACAAACTGCATGTAACCCCCTGTAAAAATACAGCCCTCTCCCTCTGCAGTGAGCTATACCAAAAACACATCTAGAAAAAATTTGCACAGCAGCACAGCCTCACTTCAATGTTAAATGAACTTTGTATTTTTTTAAGTTTAAAAGCTTGTTATGATGGCTTATACGCTGTAGGTATAAGAAATTTTAAGATGCGACATATTTAAGAGGCTATCAGTAGCATTCAACCAAAAGTCAAATCCTGCTCCTACTCAAAGTTGCTTCGTCCTCCCTTTGAACCAAAAAGAATGACATTTGCACATGCCTTATTTAAGTTTTAAAATTGCACAGGTTAATTGGGTCATAAAAAATATGCTCAATTTTCTTTATATTATGTGATACATACTACTCGAAACAAATTTGAAATTATTAGATCAAATCGTTACTCACTTCTCTTCAAAACTAAAATTTACTATTCATACATGCCTATTCAGGAACAATAATGCACAAGTGAAATGAAAGATAGAACAAAAGTAGAGCCACAAACGCTCTTATATCACCACAGAGCTTAGACAAAGCTTGGACAAATGCATGGACTAGTTTATAGATCCCAAGTTCCCTGTAGCACATCTCATAGAAAATTCTACGTTGAGGAATTGAGTAAAATAAATGTGAGCGTCTACAGAGAACTCTAGGATCCACTTATAGTAATGGCGATCATGCTTGTACCACTTCCCGTTTCAACTTCACCTCAATAACTTCACCTCACTTCGACATTACTAGCCATGCAGCGCCTGAAAAAGAAATTCAGAGGCATAACCAGTTCGCGTGAACAGGGCGTGTCGGAGATCACTGGGAGAGGCCTTTGTCCTACAGTGGATGTGCGACGAGCTCATGATTATAATGATCATGTTGGAAACACCAGATACCACTTTTTCATCCCCCAGCAAGACACAGTCACAGGAATAGTAAACTTGCAAAAGAATGAGAGAATTTATTCGCATGCTTCCAAAACATATCGCTCACCTTTAGAGCAACAATTTTCTCAACACATTTTTCAGCAGGATTCAATCTGATGTCTCCTTTTGAATGCTAATCCATTCGTTTACTCAATAGAAGTGGCACGGACGAAGTGCTTTAGAACTATATGAAACCTCATGATCTTTAAATTAAAATCCTATTTTAACTATATTTGTTACGGAACTGCCAACTTCAACTAGGCATCTGGAGCTTGCAACATAAACAAAAAAACTTAACAATCGCTTTCTTCAATGCTAACAACCATAAAACGGGGTTTTAAAAGCATTTCTGCTTTACCGAATTCCACAGAGAACCAGGAAATTTACGCTTTTACAAGTATATTGTGAGTGCTAGCATGGTCATTCAAGTACATTGTTTAAAATCCATGTCCTAAATCGCAAAGTGGCTTCCCACCTCTACGTTGCAAACCACACAGCGGATGGCCGCTACATTTCACAAAGATGGAGAAAACAAAGGAGGAGCGTTTGGCCAAAATTCCATTCACCCAGCTGGAGACAAAAAAATAACAGCGTGTAAAAGGTGAATACTGTAACGCAGAAACATATGCTCGCCATGTAATTGTTTTAAGGAAAGAAAAATATCGAAATGTCTAAGACATTTGGGTAGCCACAGATGCGACAATGCAACAGAATTGACAAAAACATACGGGCTAAGACGAGACAACACTTGAAACAACATGTAGCAATGTCCATTGCAACATGTCCATTGTAGCAATGTTTCTTGTTTTTTTTTTTTTTTTGTCTCCTTACTATTACTCTGTTACATTTCACTTGATGAAAATGCAACTGTTGCATCAACAAGGAGGCTTTTCAAGGTTTTTAAGTTAGGTAAGAAATACATATGAAACCATCCCAGTAAAGAATCACTACCCAGGCTTTCCATAAATATGCATGTCTGCCACCCTTGTGAATGTAACAGCGAGGCTATGCGTGTGGCTGTTATACAAAAAGTTCAACAAACAATTTGCAAGAACAATGGTCTCATTAAGTCTCGCACCTTGCTTACCGAAAGTTGCGCTCCACTTATGCTGACCGCTTTCTCTGCCGCGCGAGTCTTCCACGTCGCCGACACTGTCGCATGGTGCTACGAGGCAGCTGGGCTGTAGTACTCTGTTTTCAACTGCAATCTAATTACAGTCACAGTCACTGTTGCTGTAAGTCGAAACAAAAGAACGGTCCCTTTGGCCACTTCTGAAATCACAACTGCCACACAGCGCTTGTAACTGCCGTTGGCAGGCAGGCAGGCAGTCCGTACGAGTCTCGTCTTTTCATCTGGTGGTCTTGAGCGCTCGTCAGTCGGCTCAGATGGGGATGATGGGCGGGACATAAGTGCCTCGAGCGTGCACTTGTACGTCAATTCACAGTGATCATAGAATCTGGAACAATTTCTTCAGTTCTACCATGAGCTGCCAGTCCGTTTTGACGAGGTCATCGCGGAAGTACTCCTTGCAGGCGTCTATCGAAGCACGTGATATCTGTGAAGAGGTGAATTGAAAGAATAAGTGTTTGTAGACAGGGTGGCATGGGATCTGCTGCATCATTTACACAACTTACGGGACCACTATTGGCACGAAAAACAAATCCATTCTGCATATTGTCACTAGCTATGACACCATGCGCACTTTAATTCACAATACGCGACAAAAAGTACTGCCATTAAGTGTGTTAGAGAACTCGTACACTTCATCCAGTGTTGCTATAAATGGTTCACATCAGTAACCTAAAAGGAGAAACTGCTTCTGTAGAGGCAGTACTGTTAAAACGCATGACATAATGCTATTTTTGTGTAGAATTTCAATGCAAGTGATTGCTTGGTTAAGGATAAGAGGTCAGTTACACGTACTTGGGCTTCCCTACTTGCTCAAGATACGATATGTTCAACAATCAGCCATAAAAATGATCCAAACTACAAATCTGGGTTGCATGCAGGTATATCTGCTTGCCTCCGGCAACACTAACCATCCACAGGGAAAGTCTGGCCTAGCCGGTGCTCACTGTTCGACATCTTCGTCGGAAAACAAAAAAAGAGAGAGAGAGAGAAAGGAAAGAGGGAGGTGTCACTGTGTCGTGCAACCTCCCTCTGTCATCTTTTTTTGAGCGGTCGAGATGTCGAACACTAACCAGCCAGGACACCAGAAAAAGCTCTGGAGTAAAGCCACCACATGTCCAGCAGCTGGCTAAGCAGTAAATACAAGAATGCAAGCTAACGCTTCTTATAGCTGTACACAAAACTGTTCAGTTACCTTGCTAACGAGGAAGTCGGTGTGGTCAAAATGCCGGCCATACATCTTCGGAGCCTCTCCACCGAGGGGCTCAATCTTAATGCAGACTTCTTGGCCTTTCCGAGCAGTTTCGATAGGCTTGTGGTTCACTTCGATGGTAGTCACTATGCCAATGTCCAGGAACTGCAATGGCACATTGTCACTCAGGTGTGGCAGTGGCTTTAGCAAAGAGCAGGCAGAGATAACCATGTCCCATAGCATGCACAGAAATACATGTTCATATAGTCAACTTCACAGAGGCTCTCGAGATTTCTTTTTTTTTTTACTCATTTGTGCAACAATAAAAAATTGTCACCGTGCTTGTGGCAAAATGTGACTTTAAAAGAAACGTCACCTGACTAGGCCTTTTTGAGCATTAATAAAATAAGTATAAAATTTGACAAAAAAAAGTACTACGGGCACTTATAAGGACATCATGATAGCTGCAAGACATTTGACCTCAATTTAATCATTTCCTTGATAAGTGCTGCAGCCACAGCACAATGCACGAGGCAGGCCTTGGAGATACAACCACATTTATGAGGTGTTCCATTCCAGAAGCCCAAACTTCACTCGACCGTCTTAGCAGCAGTTGGCAACCACCACAAGTGCCGTTAAGCATTGGGCATGGACATACTTATAGTGACGAGCCCTAGATGGGACCAAAAGTTTTGTCCTGATGCGTGGTGTCTAAAGGGAGATCAACAATGCACCCCCCCCGCCCCCCCCCCCCAAAAAAAAGATTAGCCACATCTGAATGACTGTCACCCTGAGTGAAACGCAGTTAGGTATGTGCAAATATTACAATTACACAAGCATGAATGCTCAATCTTGAGCAACATTGGTGGGCGCTGCGAATGGGGTCAGCCGTTTCAAATACCCGATGCCGTTAAGAGCAGACAAACAGACAAATGCACAGACAGACAGACCAAAATTTTTGCGTCGAAGGTCCACAAAAAAGACTATCGTCTTTAAAAAAACTGCTTTTGAGCGTAAGCAGTGCCATGCTTTTAGTTAGCGTCACATAGTCCAGCTGCGCTGCATAAGGAGGGCGGCGCTTTACCAAATAGTTTTCTGCGATATTTGTGGCTGTGTCGCTCGCTCTTCGTTTTCGACGCCGTGCGTGCGTGCATAGTTTTACTGCGCACGCATGATGTTTATTATGATAGCAATTACATGGACAGTCTCGGCTGGTTTTTTGCCGTCGCCGCTGCCATTCATTGCATATGTATACGTATCTGTATATATAAAAGCTCAAGGAGAAAAAAAAAAAAAAAACAGCGGCCCGCGCTCGGCGCTCCGCTTGTCACAATGTGCTGACGTGCGCTTATCTCCTACGCATTCTTTGCCCCGCGAATGGGAGGGGGGGGGGGGTTAGATGTTTGTACGCGCGCGCTTATCGTTCGGTGGGGAGAATCACGCGCCTTCGACTTTGACCGGAATGATTGCGTGAAGTTGCCCAGCGCACAAAGATCACTGCTCTCGATCGACAGGCCTTGTTTGCGAAAAGAGTGCGCTTTTCACACTCCGCAAAGTAACAGCTTGAGCACTTGTTAGTTCGCACTCAAACCTGTACCTGTGATTACGTTTCGTGCCTTGTTTTCTTGTTTAAACAGCGCGCCAAGTGTCGAGTGGTAAACGTTGTTAGTCCGCTCTCGTTCTCATGCGTGAGCAGCGCGCTGCACGTTTCGGTCTGCTTGCCGTTCTCAGTGTTACATTTCAAGTTGTTGCTATCGCATTTAATGCTTCCCCCTTGCGGCAAAACTGTGACTTTTTAAAATTTCGGACAACCTTATAGTCACCACCGAAAGGAAGTCAGACCAGGCACTGATGGAAACTCTCCGAGACCATGGTTACGACAGATCTTCGGAGCTCGACTCGTCATGCCCTTCCGCCTTGCGCTGCGAGTTCGCAGGCTGGTAGCTTTGGCGATTAGTTTTGGCAACAAGATGTGCGTATTGAATGCAATGCAATGAACGCGATAGCAAAAATTGCAATCTTATAAGAAGTAAGGCAGGCAGCTAATATCGCGGAACTTCTGCAAAATGCTGATGTGAGCAAACATGGCCGCTCCAGGGAGAAGTGCTCTTTTCAAACAGTGCCTTCGCGTTGAAACCGCACTGATACTCGCTGAGATAGCAAGCGTGCCAGCGATCGCGACCGCCCTTAAAATCAAAGTTTATTATTGCTACTCAAGCGATCTTCGCCTCCCTCCCCGCGTTGTTTCCCGTTCGTTCAAGACGGGTGGTTTACTTTCCGTTTGAGCATTCGACGGCAGTTTTAACACACAAGAAATGTTATGCACTTTCCAGGAGAAAGGGATGGGCCAATTCATTTGATCTCTGCTTCAGCAGCACTCGCGCGCTTTTACCCAACTGATACTCGCCGAGATAGCAAGCGTGCCAGCGATCACGACCGCCCTTAAAATCAAAGTTCATTACTGCTACTCAAGCGATCTTCGCCTTCCTCACCGCGTTGTTTCACGTTCGTTCAAGACGGGTGGTTTACTTTCTGTTTGAGAATTCGACGGCAGTTTTAACACACAAGAGATGTTATCTTATGCACTTTCCAGGCGAAAGGGATGGGCCAACGCATTTGATCTTTGCTTCAGCAGCACTCGGGCGCTTTTACCCACTCATGAAAGTTAGGATGCGTGGGGGCATGTTATCAATTTGGACTTGTTACGGAACATGGCGGCGACCTCGAAAGCTTGCCGAGAGTGTCCATATAATTGATAATAAGTAGATTTTTTACTGTAAAATAAGTGTTTTGGGTTAGCTCTGCCTTCAGCCTCCCGTTCGTTTAATTTGCACGTTTAATTTACGAATTTTGTACCAAGCCTGGATGTAACGAAATCCTCCTTATAGAAAACTTTTCCGGAAATTTATTGATTTCATTATATCCAGGTTTAACTGTACAAATATACAATTCGGCCTGTGCATTGGCTCATTTTTGATAAAACAATTGTGAAACACCATCCTATCAGCGCTTCCTCAACCTAGCCAAACGAAAAACTTTCATGTTGCTATCTCATGAGATTATGCTTAGAAATCCCCTCCTACTTTTTTTTGTTCTGCTATTTCACTGCAAAGTATTCAGGAAATAATTGAAAAATATTAGAAAAATTATAAATTTGCACTGGCACTTCAACGTTTAAACCTGCTTCGCACCAGAAATCTTGCTATTCGCACAGTTTTAGTTTTCTTTGCTACAGCAACCATGCATCACATGTCAGCGTAAACAGTGTCCCATACCCCACAAAGCTATCTAGCATATGCAAGCCAATAAAAAAAACAAAAAAACACACACACAGCTAGTTGGGTATATATATTGTCACGGGCTAAGTAGATGCCTGAGGATGACGATGACGAAGTGCTGAACGTGAACGTGCTCGGACTGCATCAGCGTTGTACGCATTTGCTCGCCAGTATATTCGCCAGTACGCGTTCGCTCGCCAGTGTATACTTTATTCCCCGTAACATCATTGGTGGAAGGTGCAAGGTACAACTCGCTATACATTCCCACGAGCTGGATCTTCGCAGCGGACGGCGCATTGCAGCTACCACGATGACTGACCGGGCTACTCAATGTCAACAAGATCGGTCAGCCCCGCAACCGATCATTGTGGTGCAACCTCGTGACCCAGGCCCATTCAACGGCACAAGTGGCATAGACGTCGATTACTGGCTGGTTCTATATGAGCGCGTCAGCAGCAGCAACCATTGGGATCCGACGCTTATGTTGGCGAACATCATCTTCTACTTGCATGGCACGGCAAAACTCTGGTACGAGACATATCAAGAAGAGTTGACTAGCTCGGACGTTTGTAAGCAGAAATTGCGCTATTTGGGAAACCCATTGGACGTCAAGTGGCCACAAAGAAAGAGCTTGCGACTTGTGCCCAAACATCCACAGAACCGTATATCGCGTAGATCCAGGACGTGCTGGCTTTGTGCCGCAAGGTCGACAAGGACATGCTCGACGAGGACAAAGTCGGACACATCCTGAAAGGAATTGCCGATGACGCCTTCAATTTTCTCCTGTGCAAGGACTGCTCGACGGTGGAGTCGGTTATCGAAGCATGTCGTCGCTTCGAACAGGCAAAAAGTAGGCGCATAGTTCACCGATTTGACCGCCTTCCTAACACGGCGGCTACGCCCTCTTGCGAAGATTTGCCCACACTACATCAACCACCAGCGCCGGAAAACGTCACCAGAATAGTCCGTCGGGAACTCGAGGCTATGGCACCCGCTATGTCTAGCGTCAGCGCGTCAGGACACAACCTCGATGCTGTTTCAATGATACAGGCCGTGGTTCGCCAAGAGATCGCGAAGATGGGCATTTCGCCACCTCATCAAAATGCCCCTGCTACTTCCAGCTCGGCTCCAGTCGTTGCGGCTGCCACTCCAAACCGCACGTTCTCGCCACGACGAAACCCAGCTGAATGTCGCACTCATGATGATCGGCCCATATGTTTCACGTGCCATCGGATAGGACACATCGCTCGCCATTGCCGCAGCCGTTGGACCTCATCACCTCGACCGTGCACCTTATGCCCCGTCCTACCATGCTGAAACAGGTGCAGAGCATAATCCAGAACGTCGGACCAGCCGCTCGGCATCGCCCGTGCGTCGTCAGTTCCGCTCGCCCCAAGCCCGCTGTTCTCGGTCTCCCTACGATTGTCGCTCGGAAAACTAGCCGGTGCAGCCGCCAGAGGTGACGCTGCATACACGACTCGGACTGCAAATCCTCTGATTACTCTCGACCAGCGGTGCAACCTTCTTACAATTCTCGTTGATGGTTTACCTGTAACTGCTCTTATTGATACCGGTGCACAAATATCTGTGATGAGCTCAGACCTCCGCCGCCGCCTCCAAAAAGTTCTGACGCCTGCGATTGCACCTACCGTTCGTACAGCGGATGGGAGTACTCCTGCTGTGCTTGGAATGTGCACTGCGCGATTAACGATTTCTGAGCATCAAACTTCAGTTCTGTTCGCTGTACTGGAAAATTGCCCCCATGACCTCATCCTTGGACTCGACTTTCTGACTTCACACGCTGCGCTCACTGACTGTTCCAAAGGTCTTCTTCGGCTCGAACTACCATCCTTCTCAGAGACCGTCTCTACTAGCCCACCTCGTCTACGCTCTGTCGATTTCCTCAGACTTTCGCCGCAAGCCGCAGTCCAAGTGCAACTCTCGCCATATCCTCCATTACCGGATGGTGATTATGTTGCTGCCCCAATTTCTGACGTGGCCATGACACGTAATGTTGCACTCCCCAACACAGTGGTTACCGTTAAGGACAACGGAACTTCATTTCCCGTCCTCAATTTTGGCTTCTCAGCGCAAGTTATTCCTCGCGGCATGTCACTTGCGCATCTGACACCACTGGTCGACCACACAGTTTCCGCCCTAACCACCGATTAGCCACCCGATTTTTCATCAACGTCGCTCTCGTCACGCTCCTGTTCCGACCTTTTCAAGCCAATGCTATCTGACAAGCTCACCTCTGAACAAGTCTCTGCTTTCTGCCATGTGCTTGCTTCTTATCAGGACATCTATGACTTCGGCGACCGTAATTTGGGCCAGACATCTGTGGTAACCCATCGCATCGACACCGGTGACGCTCGATCCATTCGCCGACAACCCTACCGTGTGTCAGCCCCGGAGCGAGCTATTTTACAGCGAGAAGTCGATAAAATGCTTCATAAGGGCATAATCGATCCCTCATCTAGTCCATGGTCCTCACCCGTTGTACTTGTTAAAAAGAAGGACAATAGCTGGAGATTCTGTGTTGATTACCACCATCTCAACCATATTACCAAGAAAGATGTCTATCCCCTACCGCGCATAGATGATGCACTCGATCGCTTGCACAATGCCAAATATTTCTCTTCAATAGACCTTCACTCGAGCTACTGGCAGATCGCTGTGAACGACAGACAGAGAGAAGACGGCCTTCGTGACTCCCGATGGACTTTATCAGTTCAAGATGATGCCTTTTGGATTATGCAATGCCCCCGCGACTTGATCGACTCTCTCCTTCGAGGCATGAAGTGGACCATCTGCCTCTGCTATCTTGACGACGTTATTGTTTTCTCGACTTTCGACGACCATCTTACTCGTCTGTCCACAGTGCTTGATGTTTTCCGAAGTGCGAACTTGCAACTTAACTCGTCCAAATGCCGCTTTGGGCAACGCCAAATCTGCGTACTCGGCCATCTTGTTAACGCTGCGGGCGTTCAACCAGACCCTGCGAAAGTCCGAGCAGTTTGCGACTTCCCCACACCCCGCTCAGCCAAGGACGTCCGAAGTTTTCTGGGACTGTGCTCCTATTTACGTCGTTTTGTCGAGAAGTTTGCTTAAGTAGCTCGTCCTCTAATCTGCCTCCTCAAAACGGATGTCGCATTCACCTGGGGCCAACAGCAAGCAAACGCCTTCTCGTCGCTCGTTGACATTCTCACCAATCCACCAGTCCAAGCACACTTCGACCCATCTGCCGCCACGGAGCTTCGTACTTACGCCAGTGGCCACGGCATAGGCGCAGTGCTGGCGCAGCGGCAACAAGGCATGCACCGCGTCGTCGCGTATGTAAGCGGACTGTTGTCGCGCTCGGAACAAAATTATTCCATCACAGAACGTGAGTGCTTAGCTCTCGTCTGGGCCATTGCAAAATTCCGACCGTACCTGTATGGCCGACCATTCTCAGTTATTACGTACCACTATGCGCTTTACTGGCTCTCCTCACTCAAGGACCCTACGGGGCGCCTTGGTCGCTGGGCACTGCGCTTACAAGAGTACACTTTTTTCGTATCCTATAAATCCGGACAACTTCACAAGGATGCCGACTGCTTGTCCCGTTACCCAGTCGATCCCCCTGACACGATGAAAGATGGACAAGAGGCACTCGTTCTTTCAATTACCGACTTCACCGACATAGCTGCTGAACAACGCCGCGACCCCTCTTTGCGTGCTATTATCAATGGTCTGCACTCTCCCTACCCTGACCATTCCTTAAAACTATTCGTTCTTCACAATGACATCTTGCACCGCTACAACGCCTGCCCTGATGGTGCTGAGCTTTTACTCGTTGTTCCTGTGCATCTTCGCTCAGACGTTTTGGCCCAGCTCCATGATGCCCCCTCCGCTGGGTGTCACGCACGTATGACCGCATTCGCCGTCGATTCTTTTGGCCTGGCCTCTACCGTTCCGTGCAACAGTACGTTGCGGCATGCGACCTCTGGCAGCGCCGCAAGACACCTGCTCTGGGACCTGCTGGTACCCTCCAGCCCATTGAAGTACCAGATGAGCCATTTTTCCGAGTCGGCCTCGATCTTCTAGGACCTTTTCCCCTGTCGGCCACCGGTAATAAGTGGATTGCTATTGCTACTGACTACGCAACGCGGTATGCCGTTACACGCGTCCTTCCCACCAGCTGCGCTACTGATGTAGCAGATTTTTTTCTTCATGACATCATTCTGCTTCATGGCGCTCCTCGTTAGTTGATCACCGACCGCGGCAGCTGTTTTCTATCTAAAGTAGTCGACGAGCTCCTGCGATCCTACTCTACCCACCACAAGTTCACTACAGCGTACCACCTGCAAACCAACGGCCTCACGGAACGCCTCAACCGTACCCTGACGAATATGTCAGCGATGTACATACCCAAGGATCACAAAGATTGGGACATCAACATACCTTTCGTCACCTTCGCATACAACAGTTCACGTCATGATACATCTGGATTTTCACCTTTTTACCTATTGTTTGGTAATGACCCGCCTTTGCCCATTGACACCATGCTCCAATATGATGCCCCCTCATCGACTGCTTATGCTCGTGATGCCCTGGCCCGAGCTGACATCGCCTGCCAAGTCGCCCGGGATCGTTTATGTGCCTCACAGCTTAACCAAAAGAATGCTTACGATCGCCAGCACCGCGACATACAGTACTCCCCGGGGTCGCTTGTCTTGCTGTGGTTACCATCACGTCGTGTTGGTCTCTGCGTAAAACTGATGTCCCGTTACGTTGGCCCCTACCGCGTCATACGCAAGGTCACCAGCGTGACCTACGAGATAGCTCCACTCCATACCACGTCAGTACCAGCTTCAGTCCCGACCGATATAGTGCACGTCTCACGGCTTAAACCATACTACTGACGCCTCGAGAATTGATCGCACCGGGACGGTGTTTCTGCCGCCGGCGTGTAATGTCATGGGCTAAGTAGATGCCTGAGGATGACGATGACGAAGTACTGAATGTGAACGTGCTCGGACTGCATCAGCGTTGTACGCATTTGCTCGCCAGTATATTCGCCAGTACGCATTTGCTCGCCAGTGTATACTTTATTCCCCGTAACATCATATATATACTCAAATTCCTCGGCAAACTACAGACACAAAATGTTAAAACATGAGAAGTAAAAAGTAAAAGTAAAAATTAGCAACTTGAGTGAATACGATGAACAGAACACTTGCCTCCTTTGAGGGAACACAGAGTGGTGTGCCTTCTTTGACGATGCCAGCTTCGACAGACACACCAACAACGATGGGGTCACGTGAATTGAACACAAACTGGGGCAGAATGCGCAGTTTGCACGGGAACACGGCGACGGACTTGAACTCCTCGCGTTTCTTCTGACGCAGCTCTTCCCTGTAGGCAGTGAACTTGTCGAACAAGTGGTAAATGATGTCAGCCTGGAAGATTTTCACTCCAAGGGAGTCGGCCAAGTCTTGCGCATCGCGCTCTATCTTCACGTCGAAAGCCAAGATCACAGCATACCTGGGCACGGATTGACACAGAGTCACACAGGGAACAATAGGAAACACGATATATGGACATCCAACAAATTTTGATGCAACACTGATTGTAGTAGGTGGTCTAGTTGGTTGGCACATATGTGAGCATAAAAACAGCATGCTAAGACGGAACAATATGAACACAGACACGACACGGTGCCTGTGCGCTCTGTTTCAGTTTCCTGCCTTATCACACTGTTCTTAGGCTAAAAATTTGGATGATATCTATTTCTGTAGTTGATATTGCCACGTTCCATTTTCCAAGCTTTTGTTATCGTCCCAAAACACCACACGATTCTCAGCGCAAACCGCGCCTGCAGTTTTCGAGAGGGTTCCGGACTGTAGTAGATCATTTCGATAAGATCACGCGCACTGTGCGAATGGTACAGATTGTTCTGGAACGCACGCCGCCGCCAACGGTAGCGCTAGAACATTCGACGGCGGGAGTATAAATGCCGACGCGCTTCGCCGCTTGTCAGTTGTTGATCGAAGGCCGACGCTCCGTTCGCCGCTATCAGTCCGAGACTGCTATCTGTGCGAGACTGCTGCTGTAATTGGACTTTCCGTTTACCGGGCACAGGTTCGCCCAAATAAACAGTTAAATCCCAAAACGAAGTCTCCTGTCTTCGGCCACGTCACGACCCCGTGACATCTGGTGGAGGTGCTGCTTCGTTCATGTACCGCACGCCCCCGTCAAGCCGTGAACCCAGCCCACGTCGCGGAGAAGACACCGACGCCAACCAGGAGCAGCGAACAAGCCGCCGACAGCAAGGGCTACCACCGGAGTACGGGATTCTAGAAGACAAGGCGCGGAAGACCAAGGCCATGACCGCGACTGCAGCGACAATGACAACCGCCGCATCCCTGCCCACCATGGTCATGCATCAACCCAGGGAACCACCAATTTTCCATGGGTCATCGTTCGAAGACCCGGAGTCCTGGTTAGAAACATACGACCGTGTGGCCGCCCTCAACCACTGGGACAACGAAGAAAAGCTCCGGCGTGTGTACTTCTACCTGGAAGACACCGCAAGGACCTGGCTAGAGAATCGTGAGTCCACGCTCCGAACGTGGGATGTCTTCTGCGGCGCATTTCTGCAAACGTTCGCGAGCGTCGCTCGCAAAGAAAGGGCCGCTGCTCAACTAGAGACCCGGGTTCAGCTACCGAATGAGAAGGTTGGAATTTTCACAGAGGAGATGACCCGCCTATTTCGTCACGCTGACCCAGACATGCCTGAGGAGAAGAAAGTTCGTTTCCTCATGCGAGGGGTCAAACAGGAGCTCTTCGCGGGACTAATGAGGAATCCACCGCACACCGTCCAAGAATTTGTATCCGAGGCGACCACCATCGAAAAAACCCTTGACATGCGCACCAGACAGTATAATCGTCGCCTGACTCCAGAATGCGCTGCTGCTCAAACCAGTGACTCCGAAAACCTGCGTGAAACGATCCGAGCGATCGTGCGGGAAGAGCTGCGCAAACTGTTGCCTTCGGCGCAACCTCAAGTGGATTCGATCGCCGACATTGTGCGAGAAGAACTTCGGCAATCACTTCGAATTCCCCATACACCGCTGCCCGAGCCAGAAACTATGAGCTACGCCGCTGCAGTGCGCCACAACGCTCCTCCCCGTCCACGCCAAAACGCCGCCCCGTCGCACTTCCGTCGCCAGACACCACCGCCGCCACCACCCACACCGACGACCTACCGTTCACCAGCGGGCCAGCGCAGTGCGCCGAGGAAAACCGACGTTTGGCGCACCCCTGACCACCGCCCACTGTGCTACCACTGCGGCGAGGCCGGGCACACTTACCGCCGTTGCCAGTACCGACAGATGGGACTGCGTGGCTTCGCCGTCGATGCACCACGTCCGCAGCCAGGAGAACGACCACGTGACATCGCCGCCTACCTGACAGGAACTCGGTGGACACCACGAAGCCCTTCGCGTTCGCCGCACGTCACCGCACCACCAGCCGCCGCACGTCACCGCACCACCGACAGTACTCTGGCCCAACGCGGGGCCGGTCTCCTAGCCCGTATCCGGGAAACTAAGGGCAGCAACCGGTGGAGGTGCGGTTGCTGTGCGACGAACTACCGAAGATCCTCCGGCGACGACGCCGCCGCGACGGAGCTTTCCGAACACAACGCCAACCAGGCAAAGCCCTGACGGCGAAAGCTCACTTACTGAAGGTGGCCTGACGACGCAACATGGAAGCAGCGGAACAAGCCGACGCAGCCGTGACCGGACGCCACGCCCTAACTGTAATGCGAGACGGCGAATTAGCGACCTCGACGTTCTTATCGACGGCCACAGTGTGACCGCTCTCGTCGATACTGGAGCCGACTATTCTGTCATCAGTGGGTCATTCGCCGCGAAGTTAAAGAAAGTTAGGACAGCTTGGAAAGGCCCTGAAATCCGCACAGCCGGAGGTCATCTCGTAACGCCTGCAGGAATCTGCACAGCGAGAGTCACCATTAACGGCCGTATTTATCCTACAGACTTCATGGTCCTACAGCGTTGCTCGAGAGATGTCATCCTTGGCATGGACTTCTTATGCCTCCATGGTGCTGTCATCAACCTAAAAACAAAGTCGATAACGTTATCCACAGAAGAAGCACTACCGCCGCGCACGCCGTCTGGACACCATGCCTTGAATGTGCTGGAAGAACAAGTCACCATTCCGCCTCGCTCAAGCGTCATTATTTCAGTCGGCGCTCCTGAATCACCTGACTTCAAAGGCGTCGTTGAAGGCAGTCAGCATCTGTTGGTCACCCGAAATATTTGCGTCGCAAGAGGAATTGCAGAGCTGCGGGGAGGCAAAGCAACGGTTATGCTCACAAATTTCAGCAATGAGTACAAACATGTGAACAAAGGAACAATGGTCGCATACATCGAAGAAATTGTCGAAGCCACCAGTGCTTTCGCCCTCGCCGATTCTGCGGCACCTGCTCAGAGGAACCAAGCCCCTCCCATAGCTTTTGACGTCAATCCCAGACTTCCGAACGATAAGCAAGAACAGCTCAAGGCCCTGCTCCTGCAATACGAAGATTGCTTTTCGTCGTCATCGAAAATTCGGCAGACCCCAATCACAAAACATCGCATCATAACCGAAGAAAATGCCAGACCACTCCGTCAGAGTCCGTACAGGGTTTCGACGCGAGAACGTGAGGCCATGAAGAGACAAGTTGATGAAATGCTGCGGGATGACATTATCCAGCCGTCCAAGAGCCCATGGGCATCCCCCGTGGTGTTAGTGAAGAAAAAGGATGGGACCCTACGTTTCTGCGTCGATTATCGCCGCCTGAACAAAATCACAAGAAAGGACGTGTATCCTCTCCCACGAATAGACGACGCACTTGATCGGCTCCATAACGCCAAGTACTTTTCGTCAATGGACCTTAAGACTGGCTATTGGCAAATCGAAGTCGACGAAAGAGACCGAGAGAAGACGGCGTTTATAACACCGGACGGCCTCTTCGAGTTTAAGGTGATGCCCTTCGGCCTTTGCTCAGCGCCTGCAACTTTTCAACGCGTAATGGATACAGTACTGGCAGGACTGAAGTGGCAGACTTGCCTTGTGTACTTGGACGACGTCGTCGTGTTTTCCTCGAGTTTCGACGAGCATCTTCGGCGCCTTGAAGCTGTACTTCAAGCCATCAAGACTTCCGGACTCACACTGAAGCCAGAAAAGTGCAGATTTGCGTATGAAGAGCTCTTGTTTCTGGGGCACGTTATCAGCAAGTCTGGAGTTCGTCCTGATCCACGGAAAACAGCCGCCATCGCCGACTTCCCGCCGCCCACTGACAAGAAAGCCGTGCGCCGATTTCTGGGCCTGTGCGCCTATTATAGGCGGTTCGTGAAAAACTTCGCCCGCATCGCCGATCCTCTCACTAACCTTACCAAGGCCGACGTGGAGTTCAAGTGGGAAACGCCACAGGAACACGCTTTCCAGGAGCTTAAACATCGCCTCCAGACGCCTCCGTTACTTGCCCATTTCGACGAATTCGCCGAGACAGAAATACATACGGACGCAAGCAGCGTAGGTCTTGGCGCCGTTCTTGTGCAGAGGGCTGACGGACTTGAAAGGGTTATTAGTTACGCCAGCCGATCGCTATCCAAAGCAGAAGCAAATTATTCCACAACAGAAAAGGAGTGCCTCGCCATCATCTGGGCTACGTCGAAATTTCGCCCATACCTCTACGGCAGGCCCTTCAAAGTTGTGAGCGACCACCACGCCTTGTGTTGGCTAGCCACTTTGAAGGACCCTTCAGGTCGCCTCGCACGATGGAGCCTGAGACTTCAAGAATATGACATTACTGTCATTTACAAGTCCGGCAAAAAACACTCCGACGCCGACTGTCTCTCTCGTGCGCCTGTCGACCAACCGCTACCGGACGACCCGGATGACGACTACTTCTTGGGAACGATCACTACCGACGACTTCGCTGAACGACAGCGGGCCGACCCGGAACTTAAGGCCCTAATAGAATACCTCGAAGGCAGGACCGCCGAAGTCCCGAAGATATTCAAGCGCGCACTTGCGTCGTTTTTTCTACGAAACGGTCTTCTACAAAAGAAAAACTTTTCACCGCTTCGGGCTAAGTACCTCCTTGTGGTGCCTTCAGCTCTGCGACCAGAACTCTTGCAGGCCCTGCACGACGATCCGACGGCAGGGCACCTCGGAGTTTCTCGCACGCTCGCGAGGATGCAAGAAAGGTACTACTGGCCGCGTCTTACCACCGACGTCACTCGTTATGTAAGGACATGCCGGGACTGTCAGCGACGCAAGACACCGCCGACAAGGCCAGCGGGACTTCTGCAGCCAATAGATCCACCTTGCCGACCTTTCCAGCAGATTGGTATGGACCTACTGGGGCCGTTCCCGACGTCGGCTTTCGGAAACAAGTGGATCGTGGTAGCTACCGACTACCTCACCCGCTACGCCGAGACAAAAGCCCTGCCAAAAGGCAGTGCATCCGAGGTAGCTAAGTTCTTCGTCGAAAATATCGTCCTACGTCACGGCGCCCCGGAGGTCCTTATCACCGACAGAGGAACGGCATTCACTGCCGACTTAACTCAAGCGATCTTGGCATACAGCCAAACAAACCACCGCCGGACGACAGCGTACCACCCACAGACCAACGGCCTCACCGAGCGGCTTAACAAGACGATCGCCGACATGCTGTCAATGTACGTCGATGTCGAACACAAGACGTGGGACGCCATTCTTCCGTATGTGACCTTCGCATACAACACGGCGGTGCAGGAGACGACGCAAATATCTCCATACAAATTGGTCTACGGAAGGAGCCCGACAACGACGCTCGATGCCATGTTACCCAACGTCACCGACGAAGAAAACCTCGATGTGAGCGAGTACCTTCATCGCGCCGAAGAAGCCCGACAACTTGCGCGGCTCCGTATTAGAATCAACAGACGACCGACAGCCACCGTTACAACCTTCGACGACGCTTCGTGGAATACCAGCCCGGTGAACGTGTTTGGGTGTGGACGCCGATACGCCGACGTGGACTAAGTGAAAAGCTTCTGCGACGGTACTTAGGACCGTACAGGGTGGTTCGACGTCTCGGCCCACTTGATTACGAGGTTGTCCCCGACGGCATCACGAACTCTCAACGACGCCGATCGCGACCTGAAGTCGTCCATGTCGCACGCCTAAAGCCGTTTCATGCGCGTTAACAAACTGAAACAGTGCTTTTTTTTGTATAATTGTTGTATTATAATTTATTCATTGTACTTTCTTGCATTATTATTGTACCTTCATCTTTAGTTAAAGCATCGAGACGATGCCTTTTTCAGAGGGGGGCAATGCCACGTTCCATTTTCCAAGCTTTTGTTATCGTCCCAAAACACCACACGATTCTCAGCGCAAACCGCGCCTGCAGTTTTCGAGAGGGTTCCGGACTGTAGTAGATCATTTCGATAAGATCACGCCCACTGTGCGAATGGTACAGATTGTTCTGGAACGCACGCCGCCGCCAACGGTAGCGCTAGAACATTCGACGGCGGGAGTATAAATGCCGACGCGCTTCGCCGCTTGTCAGTTGTTGATCGAAGGCCGACGCTCCGTTCGCCGCTATCAGTCCGAGACTGCTATCTGTGCGAGACTGCTGCTGTAATTGGACTTTCCGTTTACCGGGCACAGGTTCGCCCAAATAAACAGTTAAATCCCAAAACGAAGTCTCCTGTCTTCGGCCACGTCACGACCCCGTGACAATATGGTACCCAAGCACCCAAATATAGCATGTGCTACAATACAAAGACTTGTCTCTTTCCCTCATGCTTTTCACGATGGACACACTTCGTTTCACACTAGTAGAGTGCAGTACATATGGTACTTACTGGGTGTCATGTTCCAACATGATTGAAGCCTTCATGACATCCTTTTTGACAACAGGACCTATCCTGATGCCAGAATACTGCACATGAGAAAAGAAGCACAATGCAATAAGGCAAGAAAGGACAAAGAGAGAAAGTTCTGTACACTTTTAAAATACGAAAAACTGTACTCACTGGAATTTTAGAAACCCTAAGAAACTCGAGTAACGCTTCTAAAGAACCTAGTGTTGATGCCTGGACGTATACGCCTCGTTCAGCTAGCTTGAAGCCACTCATCACCTCCTTCAGTGCACGAGCAACTTCTTCCTGAAAGGTGAAGAAAAGGATGGTTGTTTTACGTAAAAATAAAGAATGACAGATGCCTTATCTTTAGGAGTATTCAAAACATTTCTCAGCATTCGATAAGTAGTGACACATTATGAACAGCTATTATATTTTTCCCTTCCATGTGTTATTCAATACTGACCAGCTCATATCCAAATAGTATAACTGCAACCATTTTACTGCAAAGCTGTTGTGCCCAATAAAGGTTTAGCTTCACTGGAAATGGCAACTGTCCAAGAGGGTATCCTTGCACGCGAATTCAAATGAATAAATTTCAGGGTTTTACATGCTAAAGCCACAACATGATTACCAGGCACGATATAGCGGGGAAACTGGATTAACCCGGGGTATTACAACGCACATGGACACTTTTGCATTTTGTCCCCATCCAAATGTGGCCACTGTGACCAATATTTCAACCTACATGAGGAGTGCGACACCCCCACCTACGAAGCTGCACAGTAGGCACTGCGCGCAAGCATCTCCATACCTTGAGCACTTCAACCTCGTCGGCATGCTTGGCGATCAGGACCTGTAGGCCCGCAATAGCCTTATCCAAGTCCTTGGCTGCAATCTTCACTCCCTGGGCGCCCTTCACTTCCTTGTACTCTTGGTAGGGGTTCTTCACCCTCAACTCCTTCAGCGGTTGAGGCATGAGCAATGATCGGATGGGTGTCGTAAAGGGGCCCTCGTGGCCGGCAAGCACCATGGTGTCACCCTCGCGCAGGGTGCCATTCACCAGAATCACATCGATTGTCGTGCCCAAGCCGGGAATGGCTTTCACCTGCACAGCATTTTGTCCACAGTAAGCTATAGTGACTCTCAAAAAAAAAAAAAATTTGTGCAGCTTGCACTACTGGTGCAAGCCTGAATGAAACCTACAGCGGAGCTGAGCGGCATTCCCTTTTCGTTTTACTGTTCCTCTTTTTTTCTGTTTCTGTTTTTTACTACCGTCGATACCCCTTATAACGAATTCGAAAGCGCCACGAAAAAATGGTCATCTTATCTGTAGTTTGTTGTGTATGCACTGGCCTTCAAAAAACCACACTCGAGCACATCCATTTTCTTTTTTTTGCACACTTTTATTGACTATTCCTAACCCTTCCATGACAAGTCAGACTTTGTCACATAGTGAAGATACGCCATGCTGATGCCTGCTGCGTGCACAAGTGAAATGTACTGCCTCTGCAAAGAACTTAGTCCGTTTCATCAAAGCGTGATACTGCCACATGGTGCCGATCATCTAGGGCTAGTTGTGTGCAGCACGTCACTTACTCTGCTCATGCCATTGATGCCATGCGGCTTTGTGCATTCTTCGTGCCCGCTTCATTTCGGAACATGCAACCATACGGTTGTTCGAACGTTTAGGCTATTGCCTAATATATAACATGCAGTATATGCTCGCAGCGATGTCAGTGTATAGACGTTTCTTGGTGGCAGTCCCACTGAATACCAGAGAGCTATTTCCGTTTCTAAAAAGTCATACTGGCACATTCATCGCCGGCCACCGCGTGGTCTTCACTCTCTTCTGATGCTTATCCACAAAGGGCTCCCCTCAATAGCGCGGAACTCACAATCAGTGATTGACCTGTCACGGCAGTTACCGAAAAGACGTAAGATATCTTGCGACACATTGTAGCATCATTGCAGTGATCTTTTATGTGACGAAAAGTTACTGCAGCCATCGCTTAGTATTGCATTTCATGGCTTCTTGCATTCTGATGCATAGGTGCATCGTAGGTGGTTGTATAACTGCAGATAATGGCACAAGAAAACATTGCTGAGCAAAAGCTAGCCACAAGGCTTCATGCTGCTTCCTGTTTGTTTTTCTCAGCCACTGAAGAAACGCCTGGAAAGCTACCTTGCTTGCAGCATTAAAGACAGCGTACTGCATTCACCGATCCTGGCTACATTTGTGGTAAGTGTGGGGTCCAGAAGTGTTGTAGACTGGGCGAGTTGGTTCGTCGCACTTCAACTAATATAGCGCATTACAGTAAGGAAGAAATGGCCGAGCAGACCGACACGAGAGAACAGAGCGCTCTGTCCTCTCGTGTCGGTCTGCTCGGCCATTTCTTCTTTACCATAATGCGCTATACCAATTCAAGTAGTGGGCCATGCGAGCACGCATGGCTCTCACATGCTTTAAAACGCCTGTTTTAACTTTTTTTTTTTTTCCAGCTTCGGGAGCACCATATTTTCGCCGCGACCGAGCCTGAAATGTGAGCCTGCCGAGTAACTACGTTGCATGCGCTCATGACAATGATTTCCGTTAAGGCAAATCAGGGGTTTGCCCCTGATTTGCCTGGACACTGTTAAAAAGCAAATGGGGAATAGGTCATCTGCCACTGTTAAAAAACAAAAGGGGATAGGTTATCGAACCCGTTTCTTAGGTCCAACCTTCTTAGATAAGGATGTGCAAATATGTATCTGCCAGCATAATAAATCACTTTCAGCCACAAATACTTTTACAATTGGCATTATTAGAAATGTTCAGGATCCTGCACCTGTGTCAAGGGGGCATGAAAAATGAGTAAGAAAAGTAAAAAATATTTCTCGCTCCACATAGATCAGTGAAATACTACTGGGCGAACAGAAGTTTTTCCCTGTTACAAACCTCCAAGACGGTGGCTTGGAGTTCTTCTGAGAAGGATATGCGCTTGGCCATCATGTTCTGCGTGAGGTCGACAATGAGGCTGATGAGGTTGCCCATGCCATCACCACTCAGGGCAGAGGTGGGCACTAGGGAGACAAAGGACTTCAAGTCCTTGTTCTCGTGGAACAGAGCAGCATTGAGGCCCTGGAAAGATAAGCATGGAAAAAGCTTAGGTATCTAAGCGCACTGTTAGTATTTCCTCGTATTTTGTTTTTCCCGACCGATGGCAAACAGAGCTCAGTACAGCAGACCCCTGATAAGTTCAACTGATAAGTTGAACTCTAGAGACACCTCAGGATTTTGTCTGAATCATACCAACTAGCATTGTGATGTTCATTGTACCTCAGGCCACAGCAACATCACAGACAGCTCTGTAAAGTTTAACAGTAATGTTTTTACACATTAGCAGTCATACTGGTTCCCGCTATAGTACAAGTAAATTCACATGTATTGATTAAGCGAGGGAAATGAGTCTCACGACAACTGTTACGGTATTAGGACAAAACAGACCAAGGCCATATCATTTAGTTTTTTTTTTGTAGTTATTTTTCTTTCCTCATTCAGCATGCAACTATAAGTGTGCACAGTATGGCTAGAATGGACATTTTTTAGGCTGGAAATGTTTATTTGCAACTGCTAGCATCATAACATGAATGCTGTGCCACAAAAAACAAAAGCAGCAGATATTTCCACGCATGGATAAGCAAAAAGTTTTAGTTAATCGAATTCGTGCAATGAAGCAGCTTTAAGTGACCTTGAAGTACAATGAAAGCATAGCGGGTCAACCAAAAATTTATGGATTGTTTGAATCGAACAAAAGTTGGAATTATCAAGAAACTACTGCAATTGCAGTAAAACCTTCCTGATATATGAGAGTTTTTTTGCTTCCAAGCTATTCCCAATGTTACAGCTCAAAGCTAAGAGTTAACAGTACCCACGAAAGATGCTACAGCGTACCTGTTCAGCAAACTGGAGGACAACCTCACGAGTGCGCTCCTCGAATTCAAGACGAGTGTTTCGTGACTGAGCCTTGAGCACATCTGTGATGTCCTTGTTGCGGTTGCCCTTCCAGTCATACAGCCGGTCCACCTTGTTCAATGCCACCACAAAAGGCGTCTTGCGAGAGCGCAGCATGTTCAGCGACTCGATCGTCTGCGGCTCGAGTCCATGCATCAGGTCGACCACCAGGATCGCCATGTCACACAGTGATGAGCCACGCGAACGCAGGTTGCTGCAAGGACAACAGTTCTCGCGTCACGACCCATGAAAACATAGACAACACTTCTCAAACATGTAAGGCCATGGTCCTTTCACTGGCGGACCAGCGTATGACTGTCTTAGTCCCGAAGCTACAAGTCTGTTCATGAGCTACAAGGACGTAACCAATCTCAAATTTTTTTTTTTTTTGTGAGGCACCGATGAAGTCATTATGTATAGAAACATAACCGTGAAACAAAAGCTCTACATTTCAAAATAAGCATTCAGATTTCAGCAGATAGATTGGTATAGATACAGTTCTCAAATATTGAAGCAGGATTCCCTTCAGAAAAGAGCTCAGATATGGGAAAGACTTTCTTGCAAACGGCAATGACAGCTAACATCTTGTTTATCCTTTAGAGGGTTTTCACCGTACATGTACGGCATTGCCTATTAAAATGCACGCCTTTTCAATCATTTCTCTTGCTTAGCATGAGCTGCCACACTTCATAAATACATATGCAAATTTATTTCAATTTGCCAATATCTTTCCATTGTTTTTTGCTTCACAAAGCGGCACGACTGCTATTGCTTGCACATCCGACCGAGCGTGCACGTGGTGCGACTGGTTTAAAACATGCGCCTTTAGTCATGATTTCTCTTGCAATACGCGGAATTTTTTTCATGTGCCAATGTCTCTCCCTTTCTTCTCTCTCTCTCTTTTTTGCTTTCCATAGTGGCAAAGCGGCTGGTTTCGTCCTTTGAATGGTTATAGCTTCTCGCGCCCACAAGGCTGATGGCTGTCTGGTTTCTAACCTTTCAAAGGGTGACTGCTTGTTACTCTCTTGTTTATTGCTTCATGGGGCGCAATCACATTTGTTCTCGTGCGGCACCAATTTACACAAACAACGGCGCCATAGTTGAGTTTCCTATTTTGGGCACTCGGAAAAACTAACTCTGTCTCGTTGGCGGTAAGACGAAAGACTACTCTAGCCTTTTCACTCATTTTGCTGTCCAGACAAGTGAACAATAGTACAGTTTTCTTCCATGTGTTCGCTCACACAGTTTGCATACACTATAGAAGCGCGCGCAAAACAGTTCTTAAAAAAGTTGCTGTTTGCCAATGCCAAGGCAAGCATGACCCAGCTCCGTCTTTGCCAACACCACTCAATAACCGAAACTTTGCAAAGAAATGCGCTACATTTGAATGTAAACATTCGACATTTTATACACTCACTGATCGGGAAACTTCTGTTCTGGCAAAGGGACATGGTTATAACATATCAATGATGCCCCGTCTACCGAAACTTGTCGCGGCTGTAGAGGAAGCCGTCCAAAGCGTGAGGCCGAGTGCCAGAGAAGAAATCAGGCTGAAATCAATTGGGATCCTTTCGAAATTACCGTTACAAAAGAAAAAGAACTTGACCGCAGAGGAGAACGAGGCACTTCAGGAACTCTGATGTGATCGGAGCATTGTCATCTTGCCCGCCGACAAGAGCAATTCGACAGTGGTGTTGGACAGCGGGGACTACGATCAGAAGATTTCAGCTCTTTTAGAAGGGGACGCATACACGCAGCTAAGAAAGGACCCAACGAAGCAAACCCAGACACAGCTAAACAAGCTACTCATGGAAATTTTCAAGCATTACCTGGATCTCAGAACACTTTACCTGCGACTAATCTGCGGTAACGAATCCGCGCCGAGTTTCTACGGACTACCGAAAATTCACAAGCCTGACGTCCCCCTCCGACCGATTGTAGACTTCACTTCCTCCCCATGCCGAGCCCTTTTGAATTTTCTACACCGAATCTTCGCCCCCCCTAAGCTAAAAGACACCAACTCATGTCCGTGACTCTAGCCATTTCGTGCAGCTAGCGTCAGATGTGAGCATCGACGATGACGAGAGCATGGTCTCGTTTGATATCGTTTCATTGTTCACCAATGTGCCAGTGCTCTTAGCTGTCTGCTCTGCCCGTGCTGCACTTGAGGGTGACGCAAGCCTGAGTGAAAGGGCTCCTTTGGCGGTTGACGAGCTCTGCCATCTACTGGAATTCTGCCTGTCTAGTACGTTCTTCTACAAAGGAACTACTTTCATCCAGAACAGTCGAACTGTGATGGGAGCTTCCATCTCTGTCAGGATGGCAAACCTGACCATGGAGTACATAGAAGAGAAAGCATTCAGCTCTTTCTCGCCGCGACCCAAGCTTTTCTTCGTTATATGGATGATTTGTTTTGCGTCATGAAGACGTTTGAAATTGAAAACTTCAGACAGCATCTAAATTCCATGCAACCAGCCATACAATTCACGGTCGAGTGTGAAAGCGACCGCTTCCTCCCCTTTTTCGACGTCCAGGTGGCAAGAGAGTGCAACAGCCTAGAATTCTCCGTTCACAGGAAGCCAACGCACACCGGCCGCTACCTTCAATTTGATTCTTCCCACCCCCCCCTGCCACAAGGCCTCAGTTGTGACCCCGCTACTCCAGAGAGCTAAGAACTTTTGCTCCAACAACACAGAGCGAAAGAAAGAAGAGGCCCGCGTAATTGCGGACCTCAGAAAAAATAAATACCCAAAGAACTTCATTGGCGCCGCCACCCGTCTCGCAGAGCAACAGAAGATAAGAAAACCCCAATCAGCATTAATTGGCAGCCCTCCGAAACGCGTACCGGTCCCATACATTCAGGGAACCAGCGAGATGTTGGCGCGGATCTTCAAAAAGGAATGGGTTCGCACCGCACACGTGCCTTCGTGTACGCTGGGCCGCCGCCTCCCCCACCCGAAAGACCAGCCAACAATGGACAGGACCCTCGGTGTCGTTTACAAAATCCCGTGCACCGAGTGTCCTTCTTCGTATAATGGCGAAACGAAAGACCTACCGGAACGACTCAAGCAACACGCCAACGATGTGCGAAAGCTCTACAAAGAGCGCAGCGCAGTCCCCGAGCATGCTGAGACCTTGGACCACCGGATAAATTTTGAAGCAACGACCATCCTTTTGAAAGTGAGACGAACTGAAGGAGAAGATTACTACTCGAGTCGTGGCATATACAGCAGACAGCCCAAAACATTAAATGCTCTCTCGAAGCCCTTCCCCCAGTGTATACACATGCACGGCGCTCCACGGCAAAATGATAGAAAGAGAGAGGGTCATTATCAGCCCCGCGAGTGCTTTGAAGACGTTGCTGCTACGTAGTTCTGCAGTCTCCCCTGAGGAAGAAACCAAGTCGGTTCCAAAACGTTGGGTTTCTTCAAAAGCTATTGGTTGGAGTTTAAATCATCTCTCAAATGCACTAAATGTGTGTTCAGTGCAATAAACCATTCCGTGGGGAGCCATTCTACAAGCACTATCACACACTGAAGTTTTTTGAATTACAGCATGAACTTTTTCTATCAGGAAGATACCCTGGTGAGTTTATTTTTGCATGCCTATGAGCTAGAGTTAATACAATGCATAATTTTTATTTATAAAACATTGTATGCATTTCTTGTTAGGATTTCGTTTGACATTACTATGAATAAATCATGTGTATGTAACAAAAATTATTTTTGTGTCACTTTAGGGCCACACAAAGAAATTTAAATATTTTCTTAAATAGAATCGTCTGAAGAACTTATTTCAGCAGTAAAAAATTTATGCATTTTCGGCCTGCGTCTTGATAAAAAATTTGACCCAGGAAGGATTATCCTTTTTACCCTGCTCCAGCTATCTTCGCAGTCTCGGCGCTTGTGATGTTAAATTTCGGGAATGACCAGCTCAGGTGAGTTTGAGACCCCTGATCCACAAAATAGGCTGAAAACAGCCCCAAGGCCATGAAATGCTGCCACAGAGGCTTGAATCTCGAGGGAAAAAACAATCAGCAACCATAAAACAAAAAGTCACAATTTCGCCGCAAGGGCGAAGCAATGAATGCGATAGCAACAACTTGGAATGTAACGCTGAAAACGGCAAGCAGATTGAAACGTTCAGCGAGAACAATACACACAGGACGAGAGCAAACTAAGAATGTTTACCGCTTGACCCTTAACGCGATGTTTTAACAAAAACATTGCATGAAACGTAATAAGTACAGATGAGTGCAAACTAACAAGCGTCCGAGTTGTTATATGTTGCTGTGTATGGAAAGCGCTCTCTTTTTGCAAATGGGGCATGTGCAGCAAGCGAAGTGACCTTTCTGGGCCCTGCAACTAACGCAATCTTTTTGATGAAAGCCGAAGGCACATGATTCTTTCCACTGAAGAATAATCGCAGCATCTGACCCCCCACCTCCCTATTCACGGGGCAAAGTACGCGTAGGAGATAAGCGTGACCGTGCACCATGACGAGCTGAGCGCCGAACCCAGGCCACTTTTTTCTTTTCTTCAATTTTCACATATATGTACACGTATACATATACGGTGATTGACAGCGGTGGTGATAGCAGAAAACCAGCTGAGACTGTCCATATAATTGCTATCGTAATAAAATAATCTCTAAGCTGTGTCCTGATATACATTTACCATATTTACTCGCGTAATAAACCCACTCGCATAATATAGGCATCTCCAACTTCAGTCCCCCATCTTATCTGTGCGCCACAGCAAGGTTCACGAACGGTGCGAGTGTAGAGACAACGCAGCTGATAAGCACACAGCGAGCGAAGGTCACGAAACTGCCCGCGCCGACTGACGCGGGCAGTTTGAAAAAGCCCAACTACGTGCACGGGATTTTCGAGTGACTACGACAGGATTTGCTGTCGTGAAGGGTCATTCAACGCTATCGTGTTGCAGGTTTCTGCAAAAGCAGAAAAAATCGCTTGTTGTCTCGAAAAGATCATAATGATTTCTGCAACATGGTAGCACCCCCCCCCCCCCCCCCCGATTCTCGCTTCGCTTGTTATCCACGCGTAGAGGAGCTTCTCATGTAGAACTGAGGCGGCGGCCGTATTTTGTTGTTAACTTTGTTATTGGCGGTTTGTTGTGCTGATTCAGGGGTAGCTTGCTGCAATGTTGGTTACTTGCTACAATGTTAACGGTGTCTTCATGTCGTAGCGCACGCTTTTGGGTGTCCCTCGTGATCACAGCAAATACCACTGTTGCGGTTCAACAATTGTGAGAAAAAATACCGCAAAACGATTTTATGGCGTGCGCGGTTGGCCCGGGAACAGCTTGCAGAAGATAGCGCCATCAGCCATCAAATGTGAGTAAAGTGCAACAAAGAAGTTATTTCCAAACAGTGTACGCATATTTCAATTGCGAAAGGCTAGGCGACCTAACTTATTTTTGCATTACAGCATTTCTTGCTCCTTTCGAAAAAGTTTTCGTAAAATTTATCCCGTATAATACCCCGCCCCCCAACTTTGCACTGATTTTTCTAGAAAAAAAGTTTGTTAATTACACGAGTAAATATGGTAGGTTGCAAAATAACAAATGTTATCAAGGGGACCGGAAAATGCAATGATTACCTGAATGACTCGTGCCCGGGAGTGTCAATAATCAGGAGTCCAGGAATCTTCAAGGCCTTGTTCGAAAACTGAGAAAAAGAAATGAACAGAACAAAAGAAAAGATACATAATACGCAATTATAGAAAACAAAGAGCTGCCCATAATTGTAAATTACTATTTCGATTTTCATTACACATAGGCAGGCTGTTAGAAATGTGGATGCTACTGCAAGTACTATACTTATGCTGAATCCTATTTGCACATTTTTGCTTTCTTTTACGAAGTGATAAGCGAGCTGTTCTTGGTGGGTTATTGAGAAAACCAGGACTCCCACAAGGGTTCACTTGCAAGCGAGTGCTTTGAACAACAACAAAGGAGTACCTCTTTGACCATCTTGCACTGTTCCTTGATGGCATCCAGAGGAACCATGGTAGCACCAATCTGCTGAGTGATTCCACCAGCTTCACTGTCCTGAACATGAGTATGCCGAATCTGCCAAAAGAGCGAAACAAATCGTTACAGGCACATTCAGTATCAGCTTACACGAATGACATTCAGTTGGAGCGTAGCCTGGCAGGAATAAGTAGAAACTCGCTACTCACCTACCATTATTTTTGTAGGCACAGGGCATTTACAATTATTATTTGCCCCAACAGTTCCCAGCTGCCCAAGACGTGGGTGAATATTCCAATAAGTAGGCAAGGATCAATATTCGAGCCCTTTGAATATCTGAACAAACATGGTGGCATTCAAACTTGGTTCAAAACAAATTTAAATTGTCTGAAGTAACAAATAGACTTGTAATATTTGACCCAAGTGCTGTGCCATGAAACCAATCATCCAGGACATGTGCACTGCCACCAAGCCACGCTGTATGGTTAACTAATGTACATGTTGCCTTCACCTCAATTAATAATTTATCTAGGTTTAAAAGTGTCATGTAGACTAAGTATAGCAAATTCGAAAACACACAAAAAAAATCTTACCACTGATAACTTGTGCCCTACTGCTATTCATATTTTGCTATTATACAAAGTCGCTTCCACTTCACCTTGAACCAAAATGGTGACATTCACACAGTTTTAACCCATAAAAATATTGCAAAAGTTTGAAAGGTCATGACAACAGTGCTCATTTCTCTTTATAACAAGTGATAAATACTTTTTCAACAATTAAATTTGAAGTAACTAGATCACATAACTACCCTAAACTGGAATATAGGTCTAACAAAAAAAAAAAGCAACGAAAAGTCGACCCTCGTTTTATATACGAGTCATTGGCAGAAAAAAATGTGGGGGGTTTCGCAACAACGGGTAGCTGAAGTCGAAAGCCTCCGTTACCATTGTGAGCTTTAGCAGCGGGGGTGTCGGGCAAGGCCTACAGTATTCTAGCAACGCAATTTCGCCTCGGTTATCTGCAGTCAGTCTGCTGTTCTCTTTTTTCCATTTCCATCACAAATGAGTGGTAATCGACAGCATAGGCTTTAAGGGGGCAGACTGGTCTTTGGGACCAAACAGTGACAAACAAAATTCATTTTTTAAAATTGACATACTTCGTTTTTTCAAGTATTTTTCTATCTCTCTGCAAACTTTCACACACCAGGAAGTGGCAATTTTTTTATGTGATGTCATTCTAGCTGTCCAGATTTTTGGTGCTGTTAACATGCAGAACCTGTAAAAAATGGGGAATTGACTTCGAGGCTTCTTTATAATTTGCCGGCACCTGTGTTAGAAGCTCCGCTACGAATTTATGAGCACCTTGATGAAGACTGCAAGACATGCGCACCATTATTGTTGCTTTTTGAAGAAGCAGTGTGTATTCAGTTTTTCCCATTTTTCCCATAAAAGTAAATTACGGCTGTTCAATTTTGAGGCCTCAATATCTCTGCAGCTAAGCAGGTACAACAATGATTCTTTTTGCTAATGAAAACCTGTATGTGTGTAGAATGCGAGTATGGGAGCAGAATTAAGAGCAAAAGCCTTTTAAATTAATAATAATCAAAATTGTAACACAATTCCAACTGCTTTTGAAAATGAATAGTTCATTTTGCTGTAAAATAACCAAGAAAGACCTAAAAACAAAAAAAACACTCTTGCATACTTTCAATCTATAGTCATTAGTATATGTTGGCATATTTTAAATATCACTTTTATTAAGCACTTTTTTCCCTATGGCAGTCTTAAACAATAGGTGAACTTAAGTTATCTCAGTAACATTTCGAGCTACAGGAAAACTAATTAAATATTCGAAATCAGCAGAAAAACTGCATAATCCTGTGCAGTTTGATCAAGATCACTGAATAAACAAACAAACAAAAAATGTCTAAAACCAGTCTGCCCCCTTAAGAAGAAAGTTATCAAGTATGCCAAAGCGCAAGGCAACCTGGCGGCACAATGGGAATTCAGTGCATCGAAGAAAAGTGTCCGATACCGAAGAAGCCAAAAGCAACGCATCACATCCTGCAGCAGTAGACAAAAACAAAAAACGTCGTTTCCAGGACGACTGCAGTGCATTGCGAACCGGAAATGCTACTCGTCGAATTTGTCCATGAGCTGCGTGCAAGGTTGCTACCCATAACAGCGGAGTGCACCTGCCTGAAAGCTCTCCGAGATAGCACGCGACTCAGGGCTCATGAGGGTGCAATTCAAGGGATCGCCATCATGGATGCGCCGATTCTTTAAGCAGAAGGGCTTTGCGCTGAGGCGGCGTACTTTCGTTTTTCTGCAAATGCTGCATCAGTAACGCATTGGATGGAACGGAGGGCGATGCACTCTGGGACATTACTAGTGAAAACCAGACGTCGTTGGACTCAAGTTCAGACGGGTCTCAGTGACAGCACTTTGTGGCCTTCTGGCAGTTTAACTACACTAAGGTTAGTGTCCAGATAAAAAGAAATGTCACCACAGTGCAGCTGGTTGTGTCGCGTATTTACCAAGGTAAGGGTGGGCCGCGATACTTTGCGATTTTTAAAAAATTTCTTTTTCGGAGATTCAAAGTTTGGGGGGTTGACTTATATTCCGGTCCAACCTATATTGCGGTTTTTACGGTATTCCCCAATCCCTACTAATAAGCACTGCATATGAAGGGGCACGCTCATACTCATGCAAGCTCGGACTCTTCGGAACATACACAAGTTAAATAGAAGATGAAATGTTTATTTGATTGTAGGAATACCAAACTATACTAGACAAAATGTTCCACAGTATGCCAAAAAGTGCCAGTTTCTGGCAAAAGTATCATAAAAGCTCACCGTAGTCCAAGATCTTTGTTTTGCCTGTGTCTACATGCCCAAGTACGCAAATGACAGGTGACCGAAGATTGTCCACTGAACGCTTTTTCTCCTGCTTCCTCTCTTTGTTTCTGAAAAAGAAGCAAGAAATAAAAGTGAGACAGAACAAAACATTGGTACTTTCTGCAAATCATCACCATGCACGAATCAGGCACACACACATTCATATTCAGACTTCCTATGAATTCGTATTTTTATAATGTTCTAAAGCCACTATTTACACATATATATATTTTTTCGCATTAACAAGCCCTGCAGGTAACCTGCACCCCCAACTGCAACTCGCTGAAGAATTGGAAAAATAGAAGGAAAGTCAACTTCAGTTTGCCATAAAGACACGTTCCTTCATACGGACTGGGAAGCAATCCTGTGAAGCTAGTTTGTACACTGAAACTTGCATATCATCCACACCTTGCCATTCACTTAAAATTTTCTGTTCATGCCATCATGCACGAAAAAATTTGGTAATCACAAGCAAGGGCGATGAATTTCAGTATGCTACAGAGGGCTAATGGCACATCCAACTTTTAATACAGTAGAATCTCAACGATACCGATTACGGTTGATGCGAATTTCGCAATGATATGAATTTTAAGGTTGTTTTGGATAGACTACATTAACTCTTCGTGTACACCGCGTTTCGGTGTTATACGAACGGTTTCCCAAGCCACTGAGGATGATACGAATGTGCGATTGACCACTGTACGCTAGTGGCACAACGCGGCTTGTCTGTGGGAAGTTGGCTTGTTCACTCTCAACCTCGAAGGGAGTGAATGCGGCAAAACTCGCCAGAAGTTTCCTCGCTTTGGAGGCCAGAAAAATACGCTGCGAGGCCGACGCGAAAAAATCGGCTTGAGACATATTTTCCCGCCACGCGATAGCATATCGCCTTTTTGCTTCACGGCTTTGGCTGTCCCCGCCTGCTCTATCTCTCAAACAATGTGATGTAAACAACAAACCGCTAATTCAACATGGCGGCAAAGGCATCGGCAGTGGATTGCGTCAGCGCTATCACAAACTACCCGCGCAGCACGTCAAAGTTCACGACCTTGACAAGGACGCATTCGTCGAGAGCCTGGTTTGGATTACGATAGTTGATAACACCAGAAGTAGAAGAAGGTGCAGCAGCAGCAAGTCGGCATGCCCCAACATGTCTTGCTTTTGCACTGCCGGCTGAGTTCGTCACCGCCGCTGTGTCCGCTCGTGTCATTCGTACTGGCATATCTTCCGAAATAAGGTTAGTAAAAGTGTAAACTGTTTCTTTTCAGTGCCTTCCATGCATAATTATAAATCGGTACGAACTTCAGTGCTCAAGAAACGGGAAAAATAGAAGGAATTCTCAAGCGGCGATGGCGGCAGCTGGGGTGGCATGTATACGAGGGGCAGAACGAATGTGAACGTTTTCGACGGACACGGACTTGGTTTTCTTGCCACTCTGGCATTTTCGCTTGAATTCACCAGAGCAAATTCTCCACGACTCATTTTTTTTTTTTTTTTTTGTCGACTTCACGGCCTCGTTTTCCGCCAGCTCAAGCGGCGAAGCCAGTGAAATTCCAATGAGTTTGCCCGCTTTCGCTCCCTCTGATGTCAACTGTGAACGCGCCGCGCCAGCAGCATGAACGAGCGAACTGTAGCACTTCATTGAGAGACAGTGAAGGCAGGAAAGCTCAGAATAACATCATAGACTTTCTTCAGCAAGGAGTAGTTGCCTATAAAGTTCTTGTTCATCTTTAATATTAGCTATAAATTGTTTTTGGTTCATATGAATTCGGGACGATACGAATATTTTACGTGCTCCCTTCAAATTCATATCATCGAGATTCTACTGTATCCTAATCACAAGTATATTACAAGTGAGCACTTATTAATCAAACTGTATTAATGGCATGTCCAAGACTTTTGCAAACTTTCGGTAGTACACCCTAAAGATAAATTTGAGCTCAAACACGGCCACAAGGGCCACAATGACATCGGCACTGTTGTGTCCTTCGACACTGGACTTTGTTTAAAATGATCTAAAGGACACGCTCGCTTGTTTCACTTTTCTGCCACTAAGTTCTGTTCATTGGCTCGTCTCCCCTGTTGTGGGTGAAGTGCAAAGTCAAGCGACTTTCGAATTTGGCGTGGCAAGATGGGCTACTGAAAGTGTGTTACCTGCGCCAGCGCGGCGAACATTGGCGATTAAAAAAGAAGAAAAGCCTAAAAAGAATCGCAGAAAAAGATATAGAGCCACGGCATCGAAGAAGGAGGAAGAGGAAGAATCGTGCGGGTGCTTGGAAGAACGCGGCTAGGGTGCGGCGTGCGAGTTTATCTGGTGAAGGTATTGAGGCGTCAAGGCATCCACCTAGCCGGCGACGACAATCACGGGGTCCTGGTGACCATTAAACCATCACCGAGGCTATTAACTAGTTCCTGGCACGGCCTGCTTCTGGTGTTCGAGCTGAAGACAGTACCGCAGATGACGTTGTAGTGGATGATCATCATCATCATTTCTCAATGACCGCGCCGCGCCTCTGGTGAAGCTGATGCTAGCTCGAGCTGCGCGAGGATTAAAACAAGCTAGCACACTTGGTGTGTCGGACGTGGACAGCCACCGCGGCTCCGCTTCAGGCGTGGAATAAAGTGGCGAGAGAATGACACGACCACGTTGGCCGCCGTCCCGTCTTCCTCTCCCGCTACATTGGTGACCGGAGAACACGCCCTTCGCCGAGCGGCCCGCTGCCATGTTCCCGCAACTCTGCCCGCCAGTGCCGCCGTCCCAATCGACCTACCCCAAGGTATGGTTCATGCAGCTTGATGCCGTTCTTGCGTTGAATGGCGTCACGAACCAGCCGCTGATGCACGCCATTTTTCATGACGCCCTTCCGGTAGAGTTGCGTCATCTCGCTGCCACTTCAAGCACCAGCCCGCAGCCTTACGATGCCCTCTGCACTGCGGTGCTCGCCCGCAACGACCTTACATACCGACCTCTTCCAGGGACCCGTGACTTTGGGGCTGTCACTGCGTCGCAACGTGTGCTACCAACTGTGGCCCCACCAGACTCCATGACGACCACCTTGCCGCACACCTCGGAGCCTGGCACAGGTGACCTTTCACCCGTTATTGACTTCCCGACCTCGAAGCTTTCCCCTTCAACAACGTCCGATAAACGAGACTTAACCTCTCGTCTGGCCACCAGCGACGTGTGTCCTGCGCCCGACTGCCCATCCGCCAAGGTTCTCGACATTTGAGCTGAATGCAACCAGTCAGCCACGAGGTTTGTGTTTTCATCGTCCTCGGCCGATGACACTGCAGGCATGCTTACCACCGGCTCGTCTCGGCCGACCTCCATGGCTCACAACACGGCCGACACGTCAGGTTTTACGACGGCAACATCACCGAACGCCCTGGTGTCTACCACGACTACGGACATCGTCACGCCTGCTATTCACCCCCCGGTCGCGAAGGCTTCAGTGTCGACAATGTCCGAAGGTGCCTCTCCACTCACCTCAATGATCTGCGTGTCCTGCCAGCAGCAACCATCCTCGCCCTCGCAGTCTCTTGCAGGCGAAGTTGAAGCCACAAGCTGTCAACCACGGCCAAACTTCCGAGATGCTGCGACTATGACCGACGCTCCTGAGGACGACGTGCCTGGTCTGCCTATGTCACAGCAGACCGCACATCTCACGCCTGGCATACAGGCACCCATCTTCCATACCGACCTGCGCACGAACCGACGTGCGCCGACTACAAAAGGTGTTTCCCCAAGTCAAGGTACGCCCACTGAGCATCCTCCAGAGTCCATATCTGCTGGATCCCATGACAAGCCTCCTACTGAGTTCTTGACGGAAACCGTAGGCGAGCTGGCCTGTAACTGGACTGTAGGCACACCCTTTTACAAGCCGCATACGTCATTCACCTCTACCGAACGTGTACAATGCTACTTACTCACTGCCAACGTAAGTGGTCAAGTCCACTCATATTCAAATACCACTCACGTCACAACACCTGCGTACCGACATCGGCACCAGTGCTGTACACGCCCGCGAAAGCACCGTCAAAGCCGTTGCTTGTCGATGGGTGGTCTGCAAGACTTCACTACGCCACTTCTAATTGCTTCGCGTGCAGGGGCCAAATCGGCTTTTGTGCACCCGTCGTCACCTCACCCTGAACGCCTCTCTACCTGCAATGCTCACTCGCGACACCCTGTGCGCTCCCAGCTAGCCCCAGCTGGTCATCCTGTCACCCACTTGTGTGCAAACACAGTTTCCGAACGCTTACTTCTTCGTCCACTGCGCAACTCCCAGTGTCACCCACCTGAGACCCACTGGTTCCCGATGGTCACTACACGTTGACAAACTGGACTTCCCAAACAGACACCTTGCGGATTGTCATTCATGTATATAGTCTCTTTTTTTTGTTATATACACTTCAAATCGCGCAAAGCGCTAGGGGGGGAGCCCAGTAGTGCATGATCATCATCATCATTTCTCAATGACCGCACCGCACCTCTCGTGCAGCTGATGCTAGCTCGAGCTGCGCGAGGATTAGAACAAGCTAGCGCACTTGGTGTGTCGGACGTGGACAGCCACCGCGGCTCCGCTTCAGGCGTGGAATAAAGTGGCGAGAGAACGACACGACCACGTTGGCCGCCGTCCCGTCTTCCTCTCCCGCTACGTCATCTACCGGGAGCGGGAGCGAGCTGTCGGGCTACGAGCCCGAGCTTATGCATTCCCACCACGGCAGCTTCACCGCTGGACTGATGAAGAACGTGAACCACTTGTGCGTCTGGACTCCAACTCAAGAACTCGAGAGACTGTTTAGACTCGTACGAATTTTCCCTCGTTAACGAGAACTGTCGGTGTTTGTTAGATTACCCTTTGCTGATCTTAGCATTCCCCTTTTCGTGTTTTTTTTTTGTTTTTGTGAAAATATATATATTTTTTTTTTCACGCAAGTGAAACGCTCACCTCCTTTTTTTCTCCAGAGAATAACGTTCACAGCTAGCCCGACTGGCTTTATTTACCGAACCTGTCACAAATTGGCGTCCGCAACAGGACGTGAGCGTTTGACACTAAACAGTAGATTTGCATAGCGATAACGAAAGGAGGCAAATGGTCCCGCGAGAGTTGATGGCACTGGCAGAACACATGGGGTTGGAAGGAGCGAAATTGCAGACATGGTTTGACGCACGAGAAGCGCGATGAACGAGCGGCTGAGAGAGATGCAAAGAAAGAACAGTTGGAGCTGGAAGGCCGCAATCGACAGCTACGTCTTCAAGTAGCACAAACGGAGAGAGCCAAAGTCGAGAAGCAAGCCAGCGACACTTGGAAATGGAAGAAAGGACGCCAATTTGTGACAGGTTCGGTAAATAAAACCAGTCAGGCTAGCTGTGAACGTTATTCTCTGGAGAAAAAAGGAGGTGAGCGTTTCACTTGCCTGAAAAAAAATATTTTTTTCCCAAACAAAAAAAAAAAAAGACACGAAAAAGGGAATGCTAAGATCAGCAAAAGGTAATCTAACAAACACCGGCAGTTCTCGTTAGCGAGGGGAAACCCCTACAAGTCTAAACAGTCTCTCGAGTTCTTGAGTTGGAGTCCAGACACGCAAGGAGATGATACGGCTCACCAGCGGTTCACGTTCTTCAACAGTCCAGCGGTGAAGCTGCTGTAGTGGGAGTGCATAAGCTTGGGCCCGTAGCTTGACCGCTCGCTCCCATTCTCGGTAGATGACGTCACCTGCAGCGCTGTCTTCAGCTGGAACACCAGAAGCAGGCCGTGCCAGGAACTAGCTAATAGCCTCGGTGATGGTTTAATGGTCACCAGGACCCTGTGATTGTCGTCGCCGGCTAGGTGGATGCCTTGACGCCTCAATACCTGCACCCGATAAACTCGCACGCCGCACCCTAGCCGCGTTCTTCCAAGCACTCGCACGATTTTTCCTCTTCCTCCTTCTTCGATGCCGTGGCTCTCTATTTTTTTCTGCGATTCTTTTTAGGCTTTTCTTCTTTTTCAATCGCCAATGTTCGCCCCACTGGCACAGGTAACACACTTTCAGTAGCCCATCTTGCCACGCCAAATTCGAAAGTCACTTGACTCGCGCACTTCACCCACAACACCCCTCTCCCCAGCCTAGTGCTCCTCCTTGCCATGACAGGAGGAAGAGTGGCGAGCGCGCATACTTGTGAGTAGTCAACCAGGTACTGCCGATGACAAGCAAACAACAGGTTGGTATCACAGCGAACGCTGAGGGGATAAGGAATGCCAAAAAGCATCAAGAGGATAAGGGATGGTTTGTTGGAATTAGTGAGATGCACGCGGCCCGTAGCGCTGCTACATTTAGGACGTCAAAAACTAGTGGGAAGTGGTTTAGGGTCCTTTAAGGCTATAATTTGATCAAGGGTGGTTTAGGGGCTCCTTAAGGACTATTATTCTTTAGATGGGAGCTAACCAGTACTCCATGAAAAAAAAAAGTGCGAAAGAATAAACAGCGATAACTAAGATGGACACTTGTCCTATTATCCCAGTTTCTCGGCATTCTCTCGAAACTTTTTTCTCGGAGGCACTCACCTGCAACCTCGCAATCACTTTCTCCTTTGGAAGTGAGACTTGTCATCCTCACTTTCACTGCTCTCTTCGTCAGGAGGACTCCTCAGACGAAGACTCGTCGTCGTCAGACTCCGAGGAAGAAGATTCATCCCGCTTCTTAGCCGGCTGGGGGGTCTTCTTCGAGGGCTCAATTTTCTTGGGTGCTGCGGTCTTGACCTGCACCTTAATGTCCATTTTCATCTTCTCTTCGATTGTTTCTTCTTCGTCATCTTCCTCTTCAGACGAGGTCTCATCCCAGGCGTCCTTCACATCGTCTTCCTCCTCAACAGGTGGCTCTGTGGGTGACATCTCCTTCTGCTGCTCATTTTGCTCGGTAGTCGTTGTGGTGTCTGGTCCCAAAATTTCCAGCTGTACTTGTGGAACAGTCTCCTCAGCTGGAATGGGACATAATGGCGTTTGATACACATCATCTAAACATTCCTTAGCATTTCACATCCCAAAAACCATGATATGATTATGAAAGATATTGGAGGACTCTGGTAATTTTGATCACTAGATGTTTCTCTCTTATATACCCAAATCTAAACACACCGACCTCTAGCATTTCGGTGCTACTGAAATGCTGCCCGCCACGATGATGATCGAACCCATAACTTGACTCAGCAGCATAGCACCATGACCACTGTGCCGCCGCGGTGAGTCATTTGACACAAGTAAGAAAGATGGAAAAAAAATGAAAGGAAATGTGCAATGAAACAACTCTAGTAGAACGAATGAGGGGTCATTAACTTAGGGCTTGTTACTTTATTTAACTCAATCTAATGAAGCTAAGGAAGTAAGCATGTGTGAAGAGTAAAATTTAAGTTTCAAGTGACGTATCGCTCTATTTCTTGATATATTTATGGTATTTAATTCTAGTTCGAATTATGTATGACATGAAGTTGCATTGCTTTAATGCTTTTTGCTTTTCAATAACTCTGTAAACTGACCACTGTTGTACACAAACTCATTTCTTATATGCTTTTATTAATTCAACCCATGTGCACTTACATACTTTATTTTGTTGTACGCTGTCTATGGTGCTGCCATACTTAGATGGCTTTCAGGCGCTCCAAGCTGCTTGCAACAGCTTTTCGTCTGAAAGACCCTCAACAAATTGTAACAAAATGTTAGAAATAGAGATTTGATCGATTGAATTCAAAGCAAATAGTGATTTAGTATCAAACCCGCACTGTGAGGACATATACCGTATTTACTCGCGTAATCCTCGCACTCGCATAATTCTCCCACCCCCAACATCGGCCAAGAAAAATGTGATTTTGTTTTAGTAATTATCGCACCCCCGAAAACTGCCGCAATAATAATGTCGTCTGCTTGTTCCAACCACTGATGATAATAGCGCATGCCATCTGACGCCATCTCTTAAGCATCAAGCGTACTATTATTGCACGGAGATTCAATCCAATCCAAGCCAAGCCAAAGTGGCAAATGTGCGTTGCAGCATGTTTTGTATGTAGTGTCAGTAATCTTGCCACGTTATGGGGCTATACTCAAGCTACACGGCTGCTTTCAAGTTGAAAGTGATATATCATGCACTTAACAATGTCAACATGGCTGCCGGTAGGCCCTTCGGAATCTACGAGTTTTGTGTTCGTACTGGTGACAGCAGCCGAAAGCCACCAAGACGCGTTGGCCCTGCCATGTGCCTAAGACTGGGATTGATGGTGAACTTTATTTCTTCAGAAGGAAACTGCTGACGATTCTGTTAAAATAGCCATCAGCGCAATACTGACGTCCTACGCTTACCTTTTGAGGGCTCCTATTGAGCGACGAACGCTACCGCTACGCCCGCAATGCCCACAAGCTTTGCGTATGGTATTCTAATTCTCGACTATTTGCTAGCACTTTTTGTGTCTCAAATAAATCTTGCCTTGTGTTGAACCTGTGCTTTTATTGTTGAGGTAAGCTTCAATTACTACTTCTCAAAGCTTGCTGTTAGTTGCTGGTGTGAGAATCCCGATTTGCGGCCACTTCGTTTTTTTTTTCCCGCTCTGTACCTTTTTGTGGAATGTTTTCCCCGTGTAATTCTCGCACCCTCCAATTTTGCATCAGTTTGCGCCAAAAAAGTGCGAAGATTATGCGAGTAAATACGGTACTATTCACTTTTGAATTGAATTCGAATAGTATATATCACATATTACGAAGAAAAATGAGCATATTTGTCATGACATCCCCCCAAAACTTAAACAAGCCATGTGCAAATGCCATTCTTCTTGGTTCAAAAGAGGTGGAAACAACTCCAAAATAGTAGCAGGATTTGACCTTCCGTAGAATGCAAGTGATAACCTGTAAAATATTTTAAGCTTTAAAATTTACCATAGTTAGAGCACATAAGTTGGTATACAGTCGCTGACCGATTTTTCGGGCCTGGCGGGGACCGAAAAAAAGTCCGAAAAATTGAACAGTTCAAAAAATTCGTTTTGTCAGAAATATTAAATTTATTGCATCAGGCAGGCTTAAAGAAGTCCGTGATTTTGCCTTGCCTCATACTACACTTGGAAGAAATTTGGTTCGCCCATATTTGCGCCAAGGTGACATCGTCACCGTAAATGTTCGACAAAAGCGTGACCCCGGTGGCGATCTCCGCTGCCGACAGCTACGGGCAATCATCGTCATCATCCGAAGTGCTCTCTGGCAGCGGCACAACCTGGCGAAGAATTTTTTTGTCTGTGGGCTTCGTGCACGAAATTTCCATCGTCCGCACGAGCGAAGTCTTTAAATTGGGAGTTTTAGAATAACGTTTGCAGGCGCTGCGGGCGTTGCAGCATTATCTAGAATAGCGTTCGCTCTCCCTAGGGAAAGGTCTAAGGACATTCGCCCCGACCGCAAACTCAAACGCACGGAAGCTACACACAACACTTCGCGGGCCGCGATCGCCGCACGCTATTTCGGATTTTCTGCGGGCAGGGCGCGAACGGCGACTCCCGTTTTGATGCATGCACAGTGGCAGTGATCGCACCGCAAGGGCTCGCGGTGCGCTATTCTAAAGCTCCCTAATGCCACTGTGGCAGACACATTGACTCAACTACTGCGCAGCTCCGCCTCCTCCTTGTACGATGCGATGGCGACAGTGCTGACCACTACGGCTGACCGAAGACGACAAAATGGTCCCGTGCCGCGTTTTCTAAAGCGAACAAGGCCTCCGAAACTTCAAATATGACGTTTGCGTTTGAATCTCGGAGGCAGAAAGGCCACTAAGCTTAGTCAAGCCGGCAGAAAATCCAACATGGCGGTGTCCATACAGGTTCGTGGTGCGGCTCAAAACAAGCAATTTAGTCTGAAAAATCCAACTTTGGGAACGAAGTCGTCCGAAAAATCGGTCGAAAAAATGCATTAGCCCTATGGGAACCCTGACGGTGCACTTTTGAAGTCTGAAATATCCAACAAGTCCGAATTTTCGGAGTCCATAAAATCGGTCGGCGACTGTAACAAGCTTTTAAGCTTAAAAAATGCTGAATCAATGTGAGGGTAATATGTTTCTTATTATGTATTGAAGCGGGCCCTCGCGGCAGTGCGGATTTTCCCTGGATAGGTGTACTCACGGTATACTAGTACTTCTTCACAGCAATGAAACCACCTTCACAGGAAGTTACATGCACCTATATACATTTATTCGGACTAGTATACACCTATTCGTCTTATTTAATAATTATCAATTATTATTATATTCTGTAACGTGTAACCCCACCTTTCCTCTCTTCTTCCTCGGGCTTCTTGCGTTGGTTCCTGTTGCGGCGGTCCATTGTGCGAGTCGTCTTCTCCTTCTTCTCTCCTATCTGCGGCACCTCGATACCCTGCTCCTTGAGCGTCTTGAGCGTGGCTTCCATGCGGGCCCGTGCCATCTTCTGTGCCTTGGTGAGCAGCCGCCCCTCAGCCTTGGCTCGCTCCCGCCGCTCCTTCTCCTTCTGCTTCTTGCGCTCTTTGCGTTCCTGCTCCTGTTTCAGCTGCACGTGATGGAAACCACAAAATGACATTAGCAGCACAGTACAACTAGGACTGTAAACTTGACATCTTTTTTTTTTTATATTGCTCATAAGTGTTTGATTCCATGCTGCCACAAAACTTATTTTTCTAGTCTTTATCCCCCCCCCCCCCCCCCCCCTCTTGAAGCACATGAACGACGTTCTACTGTATTAAAAAATCTCTGACATCACAGCAAGCAGGTGCAGGAACTTCAAGGTAGCGTCGACACCAATTTTCTTTTTGAACTTTTTCCGGCTTACCAAGTGTCTTCTTCCAGAGTGTCCACTGGGGCTAAGTGGCACCTAATACAATCTAACAGTGCAACACTGGACCAGAGAGGAAATGTGAAAACAGGGTGCCATCATGCTGCAGCTTTTAGTATTCTGCAAGCGTGCTTTGTACTAATATGAGTCAAATCATGTTTTCCCTTTGGTGTTCCTCGGATGAACAATTCGCAGCTTACCTTCTCCTCTCGCAACCGTTCAGCTTCCTCCTCGGCTTTGATTTTCTCCTCCTCCTCTTTTTTCCTCCGCTCTTCTTCCTCCTTGAGTTTCCTCAGGTGTTCTTGAATGGCAGCAATCTGAATAGCAAAAACAAAACAAACACTATGCAATGAAATGGACGTTATACAGTGGACTGAGCAGATATAACATGGGGGTTGCCAAAGAAAGGGAGATGCAGTCAAGGACTGAGATTGGGAAATCAAGGAATGAGATTAGATAATCTATAATAAACAGAGGATCAAATGGCTTGATGCAAAACACGGGTTAAGGACAATAACACCAAAGTCCATCCCTCTTTAGCAGCAACTTCATAACAAAACTTAATTGGCATTTCCCACATAAACTTTAGATTTTGCTTCCTATAAACCAAAAAGATGTTATGCCATCATGAGAAGCTGTATTAATTTAATGATACGTATTTTATAGCAGTGAGTCTGCCTTAAACAACCAGCAAAAGAATCACTGATATTTCTTGCAAAGTTTGTTTATATCTTGTCCACTGACCTGCTTGGAGCCTGGTTTTTTTGTCTTCTTCTTGTCATCTTCATCTTTCTTCTTCTTTTTCTTCTTACCATCGCCCACTTCTTCTTCAGCACCTATTATTAGGACATACTATAGGTCAGAACTGGGAACAGCCAGCCAAACATTTACATATCTCACTTTCTATATGCAAGGCACTACATGTTTGTAGCTTTGTCAGCAAGAAGAAGGGAGAAGACGAGGGAGAAGAAGTGCGTTCGGGCATAATTCTGCCTTGAACAACTATCGTTTTTTCTTAAACTGTCAGAATTCCTGACTTTCTCTGAACAAGCGGAACGGAAGACGTCACCCCCCGGGATGGGGGACCATCCATCCAACGAGACAGCGGGCCCTAGCCGTTTGCATAAGGATGGACCGAATGTGGGTGACCGCGTTGGCGCATCTGCTCCTTGTGATGATTCTACCGATAGCTCATTAGTGAAAGAGATGGAATCGAAAGCCGACTTCAGGACATTCCATACCCGCCGGTTGAAAAGGAAGCTTCGCAGGACGTCATCAACGGCGGAGCCACAACCGGCGCTAGACAAAGGCAAGCGATGTTTCACCATCTCGTATGTACCCATGTCTACATCAGACAACCTGAACTCACTAAACAGGCAGTCATTGACTAATTATTTCGAGCGAGTTGCACCTGCTCAAGTGAATGAAATTCGCATAAATAGCAGGAAAAACATATTGTCAGTTGATGTGACAAACAAAACCATTCTTGACAAACTGAAGGCCGTCACGCAGCTCGGAAGTATTTCAGTTCGCGCGTTTCTCGCTCACGGGAAAGGAACAACGACTGGCGTGATAAATGACGTCGACGCTGACATCACAGACGCTGACCTGCAGAATCTTGTGACGTCGACAGTCAAAATCGTGACCATACGCCGCTTCGGGCAGTCTCGCTGCATCAAACTAGTATTTGATTCTGAGACTCTGCCCCCTAGCGTGAAGGTTGGATACGTGAGACATCCCGTGCGCCCTTACGTGCCACGGCCTTTGCAGTGTCACAAGTGCTGCAAGTTGGGACACGTCAGCGCAGTGTGCAAAAGTGAGACAACTTGCCAGCGGTGCGGCGGGTCTCATAAGGTGGAAAACTGCGATACTGCTGTTCCATTGAAATGCCCAAACTGCTCTGGTGCACATGAAGCAACGTCGAAGGAGTGCCCGAAGATCAAAGAAGAAATTCGCGTCCTGCGGAAGATGGTCACAGACAACTCGACACACAGAGAGGCCGTCACGTCCATCCGCCGACACAGACGTCGTCCAAAACGTAGGTACCAGCGAGAGCATAGTGGACATAGGAGTGATGCATCACCATCAGCAACAGATGAACATACGCGTACGCATTATCAGGCCGCTACACCCATGTTGTATGCACCACGTCCCAGGGATGCAGAAAGTGGACCAACGCCCGCGTTGCACGCCGATGCTTCAGATACTGAGTGGCCTTCGCTACCGACTGGAGCAATAAAAAAGACCACATCATGGGCTGCAACTTCAAAGAGGGCGGGAAATGATAGGCAAGACACTGAGAAGAGCCAAACTATGCTGAAGCATCTATTAAAATCTATTCGTGCGATTCTCAACGAGCTACACACACCAGGAGCGAAAACAGCAGTGCAGATCCTCAACGTGCTGGAACCGCTACTGCTGACCCTTCCATAAACAATATGGCGAATTTCTTCGATGAACGTGTGCGCACCTCTGCCATAATGCAGTGGAACGCACGGGGTTTGCGAAGCCGATTGTCTGACTTTCGACAACGGATGTTTAAATACAAATTTCCGTTGGTTGTAATATGTGAGCCGAATATGATGTCGTCGTTTCGTATTTCCGGATACGTCACTTTGTGGTCACGTGATGATCGAAATGCGAGCAAAGTAATTATATGCGTACGTCAAGATTTAACGTACGTGAGACATGCCGTGGCTCCTCATGCTTCTAACGACTATATTTGCCTATCTATAAAGCACAAGCGACGTTCAATATCAATCATTGGTGGATACATTCCTCCTAGAAGCCACGTGGACTGTCCCCATCTCTTGTCTGTTCTCCAAGCTTGCCCTGGACCACATGTATTAGTTGGGGATTTTAATGCACATCATCCCATGTGGGGTTCTGCCTCAATGAACACCCGCGGCAGGGACATTGCCGATTTTGTGCTCAATCAGGCCTTATGTCCATTAACGATGGCTCACCTACTTACCTCCGTGGCGCATCGTACAGCAGCTGTCTAGACGTATGTTTTGTGAGCAGAAGTCTCTTGCCTACCACCTGTTGGTTTGTAGACGTTGAAACACATGGAAGTGACCATCTCCCTACATATATACAGCTAAAAGGATTCCATCGTTCGTCTCCCCGGCCTGTGAAAAGCGTAGACTGGCCAGGATTCCAAGCTTCTGTAAATGCTCAGTGCGGGAACATTCAATCTATATCTGAAATAGAAAGCCTAATTGCATCAGCCTTAACAACGCATACGAAACTTGTGAATGTGTCGCTACCAAGATCACAACTTGACGCACAATATGAATACCTTCGTGCAATTCGTCGCCGGGCAGAGAGAAAATACAGGAGGACGAAATCACCAGCTGACCTATCTACAGCACGCCAAGCACAACGACATGTATTGCGACACCTCGATAAGCTCGATAGGCAACGGTGGAGGGTATTTTGTAGCTCTCTTGATCCCAGAAAACCCCTGTCTCGAATATGGCAAACTGTCCGAAGCCTTCAGACGCCCACTCAACAGTTGTTCCCTTTCCGATCTTTGGCTCTAAAGCAAGGTCGACCTGAAGTAGAGGTTGCAGAAGATTACTGCCACTTACTCGTAGGTATGTCCTCCTCATCGATATCACCTTCGTATTTAGCCTCACCGCCATCCAGCGACGATCGCCTCGACTTGCCATTCACAATGCACGAACTCGACGCTGCGATTTCTACGTCCCGACGGTCGTCCGCACCAGGGCCTGACGGAATTACTTATTCGGCTCTATATCACCTCAGCCAGGAAGCAAGGCAGGCTCTCTTGTCGTTCTACAACTCTACGTGGGAAACAGCGACAGTACCAGAGAGTTGGAAGTGCAGCCGCATAGTGGCCTTACTGAAACCAGGCAAGTGTTCACACGAGTTGTCTTCTTATAGACCCATTGCCCTAGCCAGTTGCATCGGTAAGGTGATGGAACGCATGGTGCTGGCAAGATTGGAATGGCTGCTGGAGAATAATGTCGGCTTACCAGATTTTATAAATGGCTTCCGTAGAGGTCGATCATCTATAGATGGTGTTGTAGATCTAGTTTCTTCTGTTGAAAAGGAAAGACAACGTCGGAGATTGGTAGGGGCCATTTTCTTAGATATAAAGGGCGCGTACGATAGCGTCTACCATGAGGCCATTCTTGACGCACTTGAAGACATCGGCGTAGGTGGCCGACTACACGCATGGATAGGGAGCTATCTCAGAGGACGTACCATTTTTATGTCGACATCCGACGGTGACACGGCCAGGCACCTCGTAAGCCGTGGAGTTCCGCAAGGCGCCGTCCTGAGCCCCATGCTTTTTAACATAACACTCATTGGCCTTGAAGCTGAGCTTCCCGACGTTGTCAGAATCAGTGCGTATGCGGACGACATATGCATATGGGCATCTGGAGCAACGCGACCACAACTGCGAGCAAGGCTACAACAAGGCACATCAATAACATCTAAGTACTTACGTCGTCAGGGCCTGGAACTTTCAATAGCAAAATGTGCTGCATTGGCATTTACGAAGAAATCAATGTCGCGGTACCCAATCTTCGCTCACGGAGCAGTGATTCCCGTGGTTAAGCACCACCGCTATTTAGGGGTCGTCATTGATCGCAACCTGTCCTGGTCAAAGCATGTGACTGTGCTGAGAAACAAACTAATCAGTTTTGTGTATGTTCTTCGTGTTATAGCAGGACTGAGATGGGGCCCTTCGGAGAAAAGTCTTCTGCAGTTATACAAGGCATTGTTTGTGGGCTATATAAGGTACAGCTCACCTGTGCTTTCCAGCATGCGGGCAACGTGCCTTCGTACTTTAGAGAGCCTTCAGGCACGAGCACTGAGAATATGCCTTGGCCTGCCACGGTGCACATCTACCTCTGGCACTATAGAGGAGTCACGCACCTACCCTATACAGGTTTACACGTCCTGTGAGCCTCTTCGAGTGCACCTTCGTCTGCTGACCCGACATGCACAGCACCCGTTATCTTCGCTACAAGTGGACCGACCAGGCTGTACCTATTCGCGATGCCTCGATACGCATAGGCACATGATCCCGTCAGGCTTTGCACCTGCCGTAATCCCTGCAGTGCCTCCATGGACATTGACTAAACCGCTGGTGTGCCTTCACATACGTGGAATTTCGTATAAGTCGCATGTTTCTTATATTGCCCTCAAGCAACTCACCTTGGCACATTTAGATGACCGATACAGCGACTCTGTGCACATTTACACCGATGGATCCGTAACTTCATCCGCCTCAGCTGCAGCCTTCGTGATCCCTCAACTCGGTATTTCCCGACAGTACAAATTAGATCATAGGTCATCTTCGACAGCTGCAGAACTTGTTGCTATACAAGAAGCCATAAAATTTGTGAACGACCAAGCACCGCGTAAATGGACGATTCTGTCTGATTCAAAATCAGCGCTTCAAGCTATCCATTCTTGCTTAAGAAGAGGCCAATTTTACGAGTTAACGTTAGGAATCGTCCAAGCATTTGACCTAACACACAGGGGCGGTCACTTGATTACACTCCAATGGATTCCTGGACACTGCGGCCTGGTTGGCAACGAAACAGCCGATAGCGAAGCAAGAGCGGCAATATACAACGCTCCTATGTACGTCAAAGTACCCTACTCGCGAGGTGACGTCAACACATTGTTGAGATCACTCATGCGCGAATGCGCTGCCACTTACTGGTTGCTACCAGATCACCGGAACAAGCGCCTGCGGGAAACAGACCCCAGTATGACTTTTCGTCTTCCAGATAAAATCAGCCGAAGACATGCTAATATACTGCACCGAATTCGCCTGGGCGTCGCCTTCACTCGTCACTACACCCACCTAATCGGCCGTGCGGACAGCCCAAATTGTGAACGCTGCCAAGTGCGCGAAACGATAGCTCACATATTTTGTGACTGTGCATTATACGTGGCACAAAGAGAAATGCTAACTGCAACGTTGGCAAGCATTGGACGAACACCATTAAGTGAAAGCCACATATTGTCAGCAATGAGCGACCAAACAGTGTCAAAAACTGCTACAAAGGCTGTTCTAGACTTTAAAAAGCACTGGACTAGAAACTAGACTGTAGGGTACTATACTAAGTGGCTACTGTACATATGCACCACCTCTTCTTGTCCCCATCATCACCCTTCATCCCTCTTTCTTTCCCCTTTCCCTCATCCCCTGTGTAGAGTAGCAAGCTAGAGCGAACTAGCTCAGGCCGACCTCTCTGCCTTCTAATAAATTCTCACTCACTCACTTGTCAGCAATGTAAAAAAGATGATCAAATAGCAGCAGGGTGCAGTAAGCCTCATGCCCCGATTGATGCAGTACCAGTTGGGGTAAATGTTTGAGCATACATCTGAACAACCTGCGCCAAGTCACTACGACTACAAAGACATTATTGCCACCACACTTCTCTCCCAGTTTGCAAACTGGGCCATTGGCAATAGTTGCTCAGACCCTCTTCTCAGTTTATCCTTCCGTCATGTGCTAATACAGTCTAACACGGATATATCGAACTCTAAGGGGATCGCGAAGTAGTTCGATATATGAAAAACTCGATATAAAAAATAGAGGCCCCGAGAGGTTACCTGTCACCGATCATCACCTACAATAGGCGCATTCAAGAATGACAACTAATTCCGCACATACGCCGCAACAGAATGATTTATTTTCATGAAAAAAAAATGCTAACCTTGGCCTGCTTTTTCGTTTTCGAAATGTTGAACATGCTAGTCTCGATTTTATCAAGGCTGTCCAGGTGTGATAGCCCGGTTCCTTTCATGTGACTGATACAACGGCGAATGAAGCGGAATGCTGCCGCCACTTCAGCAGCGGAGTACGAGCGTGTAGCCAGAGCCTCTTCCCCACGATGCTCCTCGTCACATGAGCTGTCGGCCTGGACATTGCAGTCCACTTCTTTGAAGTTGTCTCCGCAGACACTTTATGTGGAACTGCTGCCGGGGAGCAGGAGGACAACTCGCAAAACACGTCGTCTATGCGCTCGTCGCAGTCATTTTCACCGGTTTCCGCAAATTTTGCCGTCTCGAAGCCTACCTAGGGGAAGCAGTTGACCACCATGTCCGTCTTCACCTCTCGCCAGGCATTGAAGATCTCCGTGGGAGAAAACTTTGCGGAGATTTCCAGCCATTCCTCCATCATCCACTGCTGGATGTTCTGGCTGCTGACAGCTTCGCTTTCGCCAGAATTGGTTTTGCCAAGGATGTTGTAGTGCTGCTTAAATCGGTGAAGCTACCCATTGTTGTCGGCAAAGTTGTTTCTCCGAGTGCAGCGGCAAACTATTTGGCTTCGGCGATCAGCATCGGGCCACCCACTGGAATGTTCTTCGCGCGTACTTTTAAAAACCAGGCATAGAGTGCCTTCTCTACATTCCCAAGGACAGAAGCGCGCACATGACAGGCTCCCAACGTACGCTGCTCCGCCGCATTTGCCGTGATATCTGCTTTGTTTTTCAACAAGGTACTCAAGTGCTCCGTGGTACCCCGAAGTCGTCCGCGACGATCGAACATTTGTCGCCCGCCTCAACACGCTGAATAGCATTCAACTTCGTAGCAAAGTCAAGGGTCTTGCGCTTCTTGACTCTGGCCATAGCTACACGAGAAGTCGACAATTCAAGGAGTCTGTAGCTGCTTTGCACACCACGTACAAAAAAGAGAAATGCTACACATGCGGTGGTTCGTAGGCGACGCGACAGCTCGAGAGCAACAAAGCGCTCGCAAGGGCAACAGCAAAAGGTGCGAGCTGTGGTCGGCTGATCAAAACTCGCAAAACAGCAATAATAAATAAAAGAAAAAGCAAAAGGAGAAGGACGTCAGCTCCTTCGTTCCTGCTTTCCGAGCCGACGGGTATGCGGAAAAAGCATAAGAAGAGAAAGAGGAAGAAAAAAAAAAAAGTCGTTCCGCAAGTTAGAGATTGTGCAGTCCGAGCCCTCTCGCATTTTTTCGAGTGTTTTGGGTTTTGGCGGAGGCAGTGGTGCCGCGTGAAGATCGCCGGGCGCTGCGAGTGCCAAAGCGCGCCTTCCAACTCGCGCGCGGAGCTGCGCTGCCGCGGAGATCGCGGGAGCGGGGGTGGGGGCTAGTGCCGAAGTGCACCTTCCAGCTCGCACGGTGTTCGATATATCCAAAGGCCGGGAAAAAATACTGTTCGATATAAATGTGACAATTTCTATACTCTTACAAAGAAACTTCAAGGGGATAACTTGTGAGTTTGATATACCCGAAAATTCTATAAATGTGGGTTCGATATAACCGTTTTTTGTCTATAGGAGGTATTCACCATGCTCCTCCTGCCAAGCGGCGTCAGCAAGTACGCTGCCATAGACGTGATCATTCAGCAATTCCAACATATGAAAGTCCCATCTTTGGCGACGCTGCACCTTTATTGCCAGTTTTCTGATGAAAAATATCAACACAACACATCCTGCAGAGAGCTTTGGTTGTGATCCGACAATGAAGCTCGTGCATGTCACCATGGATATGGTGACTGCCCCAATAGCACCCCTTGCGAATGACATTTCGTGAATACCTCCTATTCAAAGCCAGCCCTTCCCTGCACGAGCTGCTCAAACAAGCGGCATACATTCACTCAACTAAAACTACAATCTTAGATGCCCTCTTGGTATACAGCTTGACACAGCAATGGCAGTTTGGTGCAGAATGGCGCAATTAACGCAGCACTTACACTGCGGTAACAGTCAACACAGGCTAGTCTAGCAAGCAGTGACGCTAGGTATGCAAGCGAGCTTGTAACAGCTCCCATGGAAAACAACTGGCAACAGTGGCACTGACCTTCGACCCCTTCCATGGGAGCAGCTTCCTCCCCATCCGCAGGCGCTGGTGTGGCCTCCTTGCTGGCAACTGGGGTGGCAGCTTCGGCTTCTTTTTTAGCCGCGTCTTTCTTTTTCTAAATGCACAAAAAAAAAAAAGGAAGAAAAGCTAACCTTTGAGCAATCACAATTTGCTAGTAGTGTTTGCTTCAGATACTAGAAGGCAAACTTCATGCAAGATGTTCCTTTGAGTCAACCTATCTTAGAGCATTACAAGTCAGTTTCTAACAACCTCATTCGTAAGTAGTTGTTAAACATTGTTAAACTGAACTACAGCAACTCACTCAATCACCTTAAGGTGGTAGGCCACTTTCAAAAGTCATTTTTTTTTTGGAAAAATTTTTTTAGGGTTTTGTTTTTCTTGCATGCCCAAACATTCACATATATGTTGCAACAAAAATTATCCTCTTAGCGTCATTAGTTTGCGAGTTGCAGCAAGTTTTCTATACCCTATGCTCCTATAGCAAACCGAAACCACATTTCCAACTGCGGTTTCGGTTTCGAAAAATCGCTTTCAAAAGCAAGTGTTGTTTCGTCTATATTAATGCTATTCAAAATACTTATGCATTTTATTGTGACTGTTATATAAGATGATGTCATTAAATACAACTTTGTGTTTAAAAGTCTTAGTTTATCTCTAACAACAGCAACAAGGGGGACGCACGATGCTCGTTGGAATTTTTGTTGTTTGCCTTGGTCAGGCTACGTCAGGCTTCGTTCTGCATTTGTTCCACACGTCAACGCTACTAGGGCTGTATCCTTAGGCCACCTGGACCATATTATGACCAGCATGGGGAAGTGCAAAACACAGAAGACAAGGAAGCGCACGTTTGCTGGAAATCGCTACACGACAACGAGACTGCCTACTGACACAGACGCCGGTATTTCGGCGACCGCGAACAAGCTTGGGGACATAAACAAGGCGTACCAGGCTCTACTAGAGAATTCTGCGCTCCAAGGGAACAGGGTAATGGACATTGGTATTCTTTCTTCAGTGTTTTCATCGCTGGCATGTTCCGAATGCATGAACCCAACACTGAAGCTCGAGGAACACTCTCACCAAGAGATATGCTCGGCTTGTGCAGTCGTGTGTACCGACAGCGGGTTCAAGCGCCCATTTCATACGTCGAGAAAGGTGGGTCGTGCCAATGAGAACAATTTACGCCTGGTTTACGCGATGCGCCAGTTAGGAAAAGGGCACGCTGGTGTGCAAACTTTTTCCAAAGTGATTAACATGCCTGCTCCTCCACGTCACTCTGCCTATGATAAATTGTCATCTCGGCTTTCTGCAGCGGCAGGAGAAGTGGCGTCGAAGTCGATGACTGATGCTGCTGTGGAAGTTCGTCGTGTTGTGGGGAGTGCGGAGTGTGGTGTTTCAGGTGATGGCACGTGGCAGAAGCGTGGCCATTCATCTTTGAACGGTTGTGTGTCTGTGATTTCTGTTGACACGGGAAAGGTTATTGATGTTGAGGCCCTTTCTAGTTCGTGTAAGTCTTGCAAAACCAAAAGCAAGTTGAGGCAAGATAGTGCTTTGTACCAGGAATGGAAGGCGAACCACACTTCCTGTCAAGCAAACTATGAAGGAAGTGCTGGCAGTATGGAGACGGTTGGTCTAGACCGAATATTTGAAAGGTTGAAAGGCAAAAGAGGTTTGAAGTACCTGCAGTACTACGGCGATGGTGATTCCAAAAGCTATGCCGCTGTCAAAGACATGTATGGAAAGGACAGTGTGCAGAAATTGGAATGTATTGGGCATGTCCAAAAGCGTGCTGGCTGCCGCCTCAGAAAACTGAAGAAGACAGTGCGTGGACTCGGTGGTAAGGGAAAGCTCACTGATGTCCTCATTGACCGCCTGCAAAGCTACTATGGCATCGCCATAAGGGCTAATGCGGGGAACCTTTCTGCAATGAAAAAGGCTACCCTTGCCAGTCTTTTTCATTGCAGCTCTACCGAAAAGTAGCCGAGACATGGCCTGTGTCCACGTGGACCGAAAAAAGCTGGTGCGGATACCAAAGGGTCGAAGCACTCGTCCAAGGGAAATATGTACACAAAGGAGGACTTCCAAATGATGTGCTCAACAAAGTTAAAACTGTCTACAGTGATCTGTGCTCTCATGAACTTCTAATGAAGTGCCTTCATAGAAAGACTCAAAATTCTAATGAGTGTTTTAATGGTCTAATATGGCAGCGGGCACCCAAAGAAGTCTACGTAAGCTTGCCTACAGTAATGTTTGCCTTGCATGATGCTGTGGCACACTTTAATAATGGCAGTGTAAGCACCCTAGATATCCTGAGGCAAGCTGGCATAGAACCAGGGTACCACACGACAAAAGCTTGCATCGCCAGGGATCACCTGCGCATGCAGAATGATAAACGCAAGTCAGGGGATGGGACAAAACAGACCAGGAAAAAAAAAACGAGCAGCCACCCCAACAAAAGGAGACAATAATGCTTTTTACAGAAGGGCCCAGCTATGAATCTGGTGCATTTTAGGCCTGCATGCGAAGATTGTGACCCTTTTTACAAGCTCAGGAATCTTTGTTTACATTTTTCTGAAAATAACAATTTGCTCCAAATGTTGCAACGCAAACTTTCATAATGTATTTCTCAGCATATACTTTGAACTGAAATTTTGCACAATGATTTACAGCATATATATCTGTGCAGTGAACTAGAATAAAAGAAATCCATCGAATATTTTTCAGTTCACAGCTGAATTCTCCAACAGGTTGTCTAAATTGGCTCTTTTTCCCCGTTTTTTTTTTTGTTTTTTTAGCATTACTTCCTTAATATTCACTGCATAATATTTATCCTAGTTCACTGCATAGCTCCAGTCATTAGTTGCACAAATTTCAAAGCTTTAGTGAATAAAGCCACCCATTAGTCCCTTATCACAGCTGGCGTGGCTAGCACTATAATGCAATTTTTGACAAAGATTACCTCCCAATAAATAAATATTCAATATTTTGCACTGTAAATAGCTGGGTAAATTAAATAAGACATGGTGGTTTTGAGGAAAAAGTTATTTCAATGCTGCCTGCCCTTAAAATTTTTGTTTTTGAGTGGCCTACCACCTTGATGACATAGAGATGTGTCAAGTGACTGATTGTGTAAAGCTTAAACTTTTCAATAATCCTTTAGCAACACAATTACATGAACTTCAGTTCTGAAGCACATGCCTTGCACGGAATGATACATCACTATTTTTCTAGTTTCAGTAAGTCAAACTGTTTCAACTAAAGGTGAGCAAATATTCAAGATTCAGAATATTTTTCCAATTGCTTTTACTATTCGATTCGATTCACACCAGAATTTTACCATTCAAACTTCCCGAACACAAATACAGTTCATATCTTATTGGCAATGGCCCCTTCAAATTTTCAATATGCTTCACCCCACCATATTCTGGTATTGCGGCAAAGCTACCTTTCAAGGTTTGGCTACAGGTCGCAAATGTATTGACTCGAGAAAATGCTGGTTCCAACATGGAGATGCTAGATGTGGTAGAGGTGGAGCTCAATTAATGCAGTTTCCGACCTGAAATTTGGGCAAAGAGTCCGAAAAATCGGACACCGAAGGTCTTTAGCATCCAATATTCTTATATGTTGACATATACGAGGCTGATTTGGAACTGCGGGCTCGAAGAGAACACATCCTTGTTTACCACATCAGTTCTGCTTCCACAGAAGTTGCAAGAGGAGATGCTAAAGAAACAGCATTTTTGCCTTTCACGTGCAAATTGTTGTCGGCAACACTTAAGCCGCACCAAACCATACACATAAATAGAATTCAACCTCTGCCTTGCCTCACTTTTGATAAGACAAATATGAAACACCACCCCACCAGTGTTTTTCGAACCTATTCAAAGGAAGTACAGTCGACTCTTGTTAGTTCAAACTCAAAGGGACTTCTGAATTTTGTTTGAATTATCAAGAAGGTGAATTATCAGAAGTTCTCAGTTATATGACTCTGGGCGAGGTGACACCACACATTATGATAGGCATAAATTTTATTGCATTTAAAATTTTTTAAGTATCTTTTTAAATAACTGCACACAATGAACAAAAAGCAGACGGTGTAAGGTCCACAAATTATTTGCCATTTACTGCAGACCAGACCTTTTAACGAAATCAGTGAATTGCCAACTGCTCATTTGCTATACGTGCCTTCAGCAAAAAGCACTCTATACCATTACAGAAGCATCACAGTTTACAGTGCGTGTGCTGCGTTTCAAACATTTCTTTACTAGCAATGCCTTTCTCTTTGGAGGCCTTTGGTGCTTAATTTTCATTTTTAGACTGCTATGGATATAAACATGCAAATTTTTAAATAGTAGTGCGAAAGCAGCAGATATTTTCTGGTATGGAAGTGCAAAAAGTATGAATTAATGGAATAAGGGAGTTTTAATTAAGAATGTTTTTAAATACATTGAAAGAATAGAGGGCCAATTAAGAAATTGACTTTTGTTTGAATTAACCAAAAGTATGAATTATCAGAGTTTGAATTATCGTGAATCTACTGTACTTTCAAGTTGCTATCTCACAAAAATGCACTTAGGAATCCTTTCCAACTTTTTCTTATGAAGTTTCACTTAGTATCGTTAGAAAAATATTTTAGAAATATTCAAAAAACATTCAATTCAGTTCACACTTCAACATGCAAATTAACCTCGCACATAGAAGTTTGCTATTTTGAATTGCTCTAGTTCTAACCCTTTGAGTGTCAAAATCATCTAAAAAAAGCTTTCCAATAGAGCTAATTTACTTTATTGCAGCTTTTGACGGTATGAAACGTGTAAAGCCCCCCAAAAAAACTGTGACAAAGCTGACAAGAAGCTTTTTGTTGTCAGCATTACTCAAAACTGCAAAAACTGCAAATAGCATTTGAGAGCGTGGTATTCCTTAAAGGTCTTCGCACAGCGCCTTATCACCGTCTGCACACATAACATGAGCCTCCATCCACTACGAGCGACGAGTAGTGCTTGAAAACGCACGGCATCTTCTCTGCGTGTGGTTGCCTTGGGCAGAGTAAACTCAGTAGTCAAGGAGAATGAGAATGCCTTGCGAGTATCGGTGATA